GATCTACTTTTAAGGAAAGGTGCCAAAGGTACACCGCTTGACGAAGCCTTGGTGATGGCCGCTGAGGCCGGCGATGGATACTGTGTCGACCTACTGTTGCGCCCATTCTTTCCCAGCCCACACAACAACTTAAACTCTCCTCGGACCAACGGCTCCTCTCAGCCGCAAATACCGCACGAAGTGGCTTCTGTCGACTACCAAGGCGGAAAAGCACTTCAGAATGCCGTTTTACGGGTTGACAAGGCCATGGTGTATCGGATGCTATCTGCTCAGCCCTCCCCCGAAACTCTCTCAGCTGCCTTTCCTCTGGCAAGAAACATCCCAGTCCCGGATCGATATGAAGTGGTCGAGTTGTTTTTGAAGAGCGCTTTGGCGGGGCCAAGTCTTCATGCTGCGTTAGAAGGTGCCCTTGGCGAGGATATGGCGACCCGAGACGACGAGCTCATCAGACTACTCCTCGCCTACGGTGCTGACATCAATCACAACCAGGGGGCTGCTCTTCAGTCGGTTATTATCCAAAGTGACCTGCAGCTTCTGGGAAACCTTCTATCAAAGGCTGTTCCACAGACCGCTGCATCACAGATCCCCACCATCATGACCGTAGCCGATCACCGTTCGCGCCACGGGATGATGGATCTAGCCCTGCGCGCAGGCGGTGCCATTGGTGTCGAGCATGTTGCGTACGCTCTGTACGAGACACTACGGGAAAGTCCAGTCGATATGTCTCTGCTTCACCTCGTTTTGCAGCAGGGAAATGCCAATTTGAATGACCCCAATTACCCGGCTGTGAAACAAGCAATTCTTAATCCAGACCCCAAAGTCCTCGATTCGGTTCTTAGTCTGGGTAAGCCTTCGGCCGAGACCGTGACAGAGGGCCTCAATGAGATAGCCCTGCTGCCATCAACTGAAGGGAAGGCTTGGAAGTTGAGATCGATGATGGCAAAATCCCGAAGAGGCGAGGATCTTGGAATGCTCCTTGCAGGTGAAGCTCAGTCCCTGGTTCAAAATAGCACGCATCAGCCCTCATTCTCTGCACTGAAAGAGCTGCTTGATCTAGGAGCGGATCCGAACGCATACGACGCTACTTCAATATGCCGTGCTGTTGCAGGCTCGAACGAAATGATTTTTGACATGCTCGCAGAGTCTTCACGTCCACCAACAGAGGCGTCCCTTGCCCTTGCAATGCCGCACGCATTACACCTCTCCGACCCGATGGATCGACTGACGTTTACAAAGAAACTTGTGTCTTTGGGCGCACCGCCCTCTGAAGTGAACCGGGCTTTGGTGCATGCGATTGAAGCGTATGCGGAGGATGTTTCTTTGATTAGTGTACTGGCCGAATCAGCAAACACCTCTGACGGGGAAGCGCTGAAGAGAGCTGTCCAGAAGGAGTCACAGGAGTTGCTCGATCTGTTGCTATCTAAGACTAAACATCCAGATGGGGCCAGAAACACTACATTTGAGAAGGCCATGGGGGTGAGGGACAGCGCCATCCGCAGAAATCTCTGCAGCCGCCTTCTCAAGTCGGGCATTTCAACAGACGTTGCTTCTAATGCCTTGCTTGTTGCTGCCCGCGATGGCGATCTAGATCTGGGAAATATCCTCATGGCGCACGGTGCTACCGTTTCCAGTAAGAATGGTCAGGCTATCATCGAGGCCTGCCGTGGAGGATCCGTTGAAGCCGTTGAGATGCTTCTACGTAACGAGGGCATGGTGGAACACGTCACTCTGGAGCGCAGTTTCCAGGCTGCCACAGAAGTTGGCGATTTGAATAAGCGAGCACTGATTTTCGAAAAGCTTCTCCGGAGGGGCGTTTCTGGAGATCCCGTGCACGCCCAATTGCTCCCCGCGGCAAGATACGGCGAGGCAGGCTATGAGGTCCTCAAGGTCTTGCTAGCGGCTGGGGCAGATCCAAATTACAATAATGGAGAGGCTCTTGTGAGCGCAACCCAGAGCGCTCTCACAAGGAGTCTCCAGCTGATTCTGGGCATGTGGGATGATGCTGGTAGGCAGGTAAGAGAACTAATTATCCTGTGATTCATCATACTTGATCAAACGTTCGAAGACATGTAGATGCTGACACTCGTGGCTGAAGAAACGCCCATCTCCGCCTACCTTAACGCGAGCGTTCAAGGCATCTTGGACCCTTGAACCCGATATCAGGTTCTCCATAATACAGGACCTTTTCCAAGCCGGACTGCCCGTTACGGAAGACACTCATATGGCTCTGAATGATGCTGTAAATGAAGAGACTCCGGATGACAGAGTGGTCGAGCTTCTGCTGAACAACGGCGCCTCTCCTTTGACGAATGATTGCAAGACACTCGTGGACGCTACGAAGCGTGCGGCAGCATCTTCCCTCGCTATCTTATTGAAGAAACCAGTGCCTATTGAGCACCTGAACCGAGCATTTTCTCAAAGCTTCACGCTCGAAAACTTTGGCTCATGGTTTTCGCCATCAGGAAAGAAGACGGTCCAGATACTTCTCGACCATGGCGCGAAGGGGCCAGCATTGGGGGAAATGCTGTCTCAGGTAATTGGGAATTCCACTGCTGAGACAGTCGACATTGCCGACGAGTTTATCGAGCTTCTTGTCTTGTACGACCCCGACGTCAATCACAATCAAGGCGAACCCCTCCGCTTGGCCGCCTCGTCAGCAAATGCTCGCTGGGTCAACTTGTTGCTACAGTGCCACCCATCAAGTGGAACGCTATCCAGCGCCTTCCAACGTATTTTTGACAAGTCGTTGGATGAATCCGACGCTCTAGCGCTTTTTGAAGTATTTAGCGATTATCACGATGGAGAGAACCGGGTGGATATCCTGGCGCAGACGCCAGGCGCACCGCCTCTCCTCTTGCAGGCCATGGCTCAATACCCTCGCTCTACCAAGATCCTGACCACGTTGCTCGATGCTGGGTGTTATCATGATCAGACAACAATATGCCAGCTTCACCCCGATGTCGAGGCAGAAAACGTAACACTGCTGACGTGGGCCATTGCTCAGCCACAGAAGAAAATTAGCTCCGCTATAATTCAGCTGCTTGTTGAGCGTGGGTGTAAGTACTTGCCCAAGATTAGCCTCCTGAAACTTGATTCACTGTACGTCATACTGATTATTTCTGTGCAGCCAATGTCAACAGCCAATCACCCAAGTCAGGGGTTACCCCATTGATGCTTGCCATCCAAGCCAAGCGGATTGACATTGTCAAGCTACTTCTTATGGAGGGTGCAGATGCCGACGCCACAGACTACTTGGACCGATCTCCTCTCTCCATGGCGACAGACATCGGAGGAAACCTCGCAACCGAAATGATGGGGTACGTTCTCGCAGCGGATCCCAACCCTAACGATGGATCTCTGCACAATGTAGCCCGTGCTCTCAACCATGCCGCAGTCAAGGTTTTACTTGAATCAGGCCACGATCCCGACTTCCCAAGCACGCAGCACGGTGGGAGGAGCGCCCTTGGAGAGGTCTGTTTACGTGGCTCAACCGGAGAGGATCTTACTCCTGAGAGGGAAAAGGCGATGGGTAAGGTCATGGCTGCCCTCGTGGATGCAGGATCCGACGTCACAATAAGATCTGGGGATAAGTCGTTGCTACACTTATGCTTCGAGTCGGCGAACCCTGTGGCAACGACCCGGGTCTTTCTCAAGGTGGCGATGTGGAAACACCTCAACAAGCCTTTGAACCAATACACCTCGGACGGATACACCTACTCGCCAACCATGTATGTGTCCAAAGTGCTACCGCCTTTCGACGCCAAGGAAGAGCTTCTCAGTTTGCTCTATGCCAACCGTGGCGCCGATATATACTATAAAAATGAGGGTCCGCAGCCAGAAGGCGCGATAGGCCTTCCGGAGGATTTGCTGGTCCAGGAGCGGGTGAGGAAGGCTCGCCTGGAACGCTTGGCAGAAGAAACAGAGGACTTTGCGCTGTCCCTCGCCAGGAAGCGCGAGCTTGCCAGCGTCGAGAATCAAATCATGACACAGAAGCGCGAGATGGAGGACGCGCGTCGCAAGAAAATGCATAATGAAGAGCTGGTTATCATGCGATCCAAGGCCGAGCTTGAACTCTCCATGGACGCCGCCGCTCATCAGAGACGCATGTCGCAGCAACGTGCGCTCGCCGACGCGTCGAACGCGCATATGCGCGCGGCGGCGGATGCCGAGGTGCTGGCGGAGGACATGCGGAGAAGGAAAATGCTCGAGTGGGAGAACAAGTCGAACCGGGAGCGCATCAGTAACGAGCGTGCGCTCAGCGCGGTTCGCATCAGCGAGCGCGAGGAGCTGGACCGGCTGGACCGCAGTGCTGACGATCGCCTGAATAAGAGGCTGGACGCTCAGAAGAAACTCGTCGAGAGTCAGGACAAGCTGGCTAAGAGACTGGCGGCGGGACCGGGGGGCGTGGATCAGAGAAGGCAGATTGGTTTTATATCCGAGGAGTTGAATTAGCCCGGCCCGCCTCCTTTGGTTGGATCGAAGGGAAGTTTGGAAATTCAAACGGCATTCATGTTCTGGTTTACGGGAGCGTGCATAGGACGGTTCTTCATATATACTTAGGCGTTATCAAAATTCGGACCACGATTCAATGACATAAACATACGGCCAGACCTATCAAGGGTTGTAATGGTGCTCACCGCTGTCATAAACCGCGATACAAGTTGACCTCACTAGATGTGCTGTGTAAAAAGCTCATGTTTATTCAATCACCGGAGCAGTGATTGATTAATCTAACCAGCCATAAGTAGCAACCCGCTGTGTCCTGCCTCCTCTGCCATGAGGCTCCCTCTTTATAAGGTACTCGAAAATAGCAAGGCTACACCAAACACCATCTCCCATCTTCGCTGTAAATAAGCCCCTATACCATGAAAGCCAAGTGAGGAACTTTATCCTTGTTGTACAGCCATATATCTCCTGTTTTGCACAGATCCTTTCTAAATAGCCAAAAGCAAAATAAAAGACTATAACGCCGTCTAAGCCAAGTATCAACCTGCGCAGCCTCAGCCCTTCCGCGCCATCTTGATAGAGTCCGCACCAGTCTCGACAACGCGGTAACCATCCGCATCGCCCTCACCGCTCGCGGCCCTATCGTACGCCTCCTCGCTCCGGTCGCACAGCACCTTGAGGTCGTCGTCGCCGAGCACGCCGTCGCCGCCGCTCGTCCGGTAGACCTCGCCGTCCTTGAGCAGCAGGGCGCGCAGGGTCTCGGCGTCGAGGTCCGCCCCTCCGTCCATCTTCTGCCCCATGGTCCGGAAGCCGCCCTTTTGTATGACGAGCTTCTCCAGCCGCCGCTTGGCGTCGGCGGACATGAGGAGGGACTCCTCGACGGTGGACCTGGTGGCGAGGCGGTAGACGATGACGGGGCGCGTCTGCCCGATGCGGTGGCACCGGTCCTGGGCCTGGAGGTCCTGCTGCGGGTTGAAGTCGGAGTCGAACAGGATGACGGTGTCGGCGGAGGCGAGGTTGATGCCCTGGCCGCCCGCGCGGGTGGACAGGAGGAAGATCCTGTGCCGCGGGTCGTTGTTGAAGTCGTGGATCTGGTCGCGGCGGCTCTGCTGGGAGACGGAGCCGTCGATGCGGCAGACGTTCCAGCCGCGGAGCTCCCGGCAGTAGTCCTCGAGGATGTCGAGCTGGGTGGTGAACTGCGAGAAGATCAGGACCTTGTGGTCGTCCTTGAACAGGGTGGGCAGGAGGCGGTCCAGGAGGAGCATCTTCCCGGATGCCGTGACGATGGACTCGTCCATTGGTAGGTCGGTCGAGGTCGCCCATGGGTAGTAGAAGTTGTGTGGGCTGTTGCATACGAGACGGAGCTGGGCGAGGGGATTGCCGAGCTTCTTCTGTGCTACTTGTTTTTCTGGGTAATGGTGGTCAGCAATCAATGCTTCAAAAGGGCGCAGGTTTAATGTGAATAACTTACTGGCAAGTTCGAGAGTTTCCGCCCGCTCAATTTCCTCAGGCGAGAGAGAAGCTGTCGAGTCCGCTTCTTCGTCCTCGCTTGCTCCGAGCTCATCAGCCAACTTGGCTTCGAACTCGTCATCGGACAATTTCTCTTCATCTGAATCGGCCTCCTTGTAAGTACGACTGGGGCGACCTCGCGCTCGGGTGCTAGTAGGAGTGGAATGTCTGCTAGACCTCGCGCTCTTGGGCTGGGACGCCACGGGGGTTGGTGGCTGCTTGCGCTTGGCCCCTTTCTTGGCAGCAGGCGTCTTTTCTGGAGCCGGAGTTGCTTGAGCCTTGGGCGGTCGGCCTGGTGCGCGTTTTCCCATCATGAGGCTGAACGCATTTGTCACGTTGGGCTTTGACTCAGGGACAGGCTCAGGCTCGGCTTTGATTTTCCTTGGGCTCTCGCGAATTGGTAGGGATACTTGCTTCTTGGAGCCAGTCTTGCCCTTAGCGGCTGTACCCCTTGTACCCGACCTCGAGGAAGCACGGCTTGATACTTGCGAAGCTGCCCGGCTGGTGATGCTCTCCACTGCCTTGTTCTCCAGGTAGGCTCTCGTATCCATGTTCTTGTTGCTGATTACGTTGTACAGATCTGTCTGCTCCTTGGTCATTGGGGCGAAAAGAACGTACTCGCGCTTCCTAGGGAGGTACGCAGCCACATCTTGCTTGATTCGGCGTAGCAGCAACGGCTGGAGAATCACATGGATCTTTTTGACCAAGTCATGCTTCATCTGGTCCCCAATGAATTCTTCTGTACCTTTTTCGTCCTCTAGGTCCGAAAAGTCAAACCACGACTCGAAGGCTTCCCAATCTGTGAAGATCGTAGGAAGGAGGAAATGAAGCAAAGACCAGAGTTCTTTTAGATTGTTTTGTAGTGGAGTTCCAGTGATTAACAAGCGGGTGGCAGACGGGAACTGTCTCAATTGCTGGAAGAGCTTGGCGTCGGCATTCTTCATGCGATGACCTTCGTCCTAAATAGCGGCGTTAGAAGTCGTGAGGTGACGAGGCCCATTGGTGCCAGAATACGTACAATGATTATGAATTCCCAATTCACCTTGGACAAGCTGGCCTGTTCTCTCAAGACCATTTCGTACGAGGTGCAAACAACGGGGAACTGTGGCGTCGGTCGGCCGTTTTTCAGATTTTTCTGCACATTGACTCTGAAGATTTTCTCTCGTTCTTCCTTTGTCCCGTGAAACATGACGACGGGAATTGACGGTACCCATTTACGAAATTCGTCCATCCAGTTCGATAGGGTACTGAGTGGCGCCACGATCAGATGGGGACCCAAGTAGTCTTCTTGTTCTCGGAGTAGTGCGATCAGGGCAATGGTCTGTACGGTTTTGCCTGTGTGCCAGGTTAGCAATCATAGCACCGAAGCAATGAGGGAGTGGGTATGTCTTTACCAAGGCCCATCTCATCGGCTAGGATGCCGCTCATTCCTTGAGAGCAAATTTCAAACATCCACGTGAGGCCCTCCAGTTGGTAGTCACGCATGGTGCCTCCAACCATGCATTTGGGCTGCTTCGCCATCTCCAAATTATGCGCGCCCAGAGACTTCCCATCCAGGCTACTTCCGACACGGCCGAGGACCTGCGTCTTCTTGGTGAGAATGTCGCTAAAGGCGGCGCTCTTCTGCAGGAGCTCATCCAGCTCTCGTGCCTTGGCCTCCCTCTCAGCTTTGGTCTCGGCCTTCTTCTTCTTCTTGTATGCTCGTTTTTTTCGTATTCCATCCTCTTTATCGTTCTCGAGTCTTGCAGCCTCCTCTTCTTTTTCGAGGGCATCTTCATCTACGATATCGGGGCGCCTGGCTTTCACGTCGGGTGATCCGGACTTGACGGGAGGCGGCGAGCTTGGGACACTCGAGGATATTCGGGACGGCGACATGATAGACTCTGCGTCTGAGGACGAGGCCGAATCCATTGCGTGGCGGAGGAGGATATTATTGCTACAACACCCTCCGGAAGGGTAGGCTTCGTCGATTGCGAGCTGTCGTGTGGCGGTCAAAGCGGCCGATGGTTGAGGTCGCCCCCGATCCAGGGATATCGATGATGTAGTCGCTAATACCAATTGGGGGTAGGGTGAAAGAGAGGGCTCCCTGGGAGCACGGTTGTGAGAACTGCAGGGTCCCCAAACGGACCGAAGGGGGATTCAAATATGACGATTATGCAAGAAAACAGTGAGCGAATTCGATTGGAGGAGCAATTGGGATGGAATCCAAGAAGCAAGTGAAGCGCGGGTGACTTTGGTACTTGGTGGGGAGACGCGACCAGGCAGCGACGCGCTAAAAATCAATTAAAGGGCGTGGGTGCTGACGCGACTTGCACGCGAAGAAGTTGCCAAGTCACGGGGCATCAATATACCAGGTACCCTATACCACTGCACATGTCATTGAAGCCAGGGCAAGATACAAGGAGTGTGTGAGATAAAACATGGGACACTCGCGCAAACTGGATAGCCAAGACTCTAGCAGCCAGGAAAAAAATAATTATCTCTGTACTGATATGCCGTCAGAAAGGAATTGGTGCCTCCTTCGGAAATGACCAACTAGTTATGATTCGCAGTCTCCCAACTTGCGGCCTTGCCAACGAACGCCGGTATGAACCATGGTAGGCACTTACCTCACCCTCGCTTGTTTTGGGCTTGTGGTTACCTGTACTTATTATTATGGGGGATGATGGCGTCATGGGCGCCTTCCAAAAAGTCCAACCGAGCAAGAATGCCGGTCGGACTATTGCCACGGGTATTGATGTGACCAAATTCTGGTCAAAGGGTAGGCGCTCGGAATAATTGGCTTCAAGAAGTTACGGGGTGGCCGGTGGGAGGAGTGGACTAGGAATGACGGTCTGCAAGTACCCAAATAACGAAGATACTGCTTCGTTCCGACATACTCAACTTTCTCCTAGCCGCCAGAAGCCACTCCTACGTGCCGGATTCAATGAATCTATTTCCAGTGTTCCCGGTATTTTACCACTGACACTCAAAAGCGAGCAATTGAGACTTCCTAGTGGGTTGCTGGGCGTACCTACCCAAGGCGGACAACGCTGGGCTATCAGACTGTCTAATAGGTGGTTCCTACTCGGTAGATAGGTAGGCGGAAAGTGCGCCTCCGAATCTTGTATGCTTGACGTTTCGGGGCAGGTCAGTTTGAATTCTAGCGTACACCACACTTGCAATAAGTGTCCGCCGAATGACGTCTTTGGGTTGTAGGCCGGTCTCACTCCTGCCTACCTCCTCATCGGCGGTGTTCATTACCTTTAGGTAGCAAGTGGGCGAAATAAAACATGGCACACCAAAGCGCTTTTCATGTAAGGTAGGGACCTCACTTTTTCTTAAAAGCAATAATAAGAACAATAAGAGGAGAATAATAAATCATTCTACGATATTTAGCTTGATATTGTATGTATTACTAGATTAATTGTTTTAATATTGTGTCGCGCAGCTACCGTAGGCAGGTAGAACGGCACCTTGGCTCCTGGCTCTTGTTCCCAGAATGTGTCCTAAGCGGTCGAGTCCCCTCTATCTGGGCGTCTCACTTGCCCTGCGTTGCAGAAAGCAAAGAGACGGACTGTGTCGAAGGTAGTTGCGGTGCAGAAAGCAAAGAGATGGGCTATGGTTAAAAGAATGTTATGTTCCGGATTCCCTTCTTCTCCTCTTGCCTTCTCCTCTTGCCTTCTCCTCTTGTCTTCTCCTCTTGTCTTCTCCTCTTGTCTTCTCCTCTTGTCTTCTCCTCTTGTCTTCTCCTCTTGTCTTCTCCTCACACGTCCTAAAAATCATTTTTTTTTTATTTACAAAACAAATTTTTTTTACCTTCATTTTTTTTATTATCCCAATAAAAATAATGAATGTAAGTACTCCGTCGTCAATTCCACCCACCCACGTCTGCATCTATCCTGCCAATGGCTTCACATTTCTTGCTTTACGACTCGATTCTGTCATTGATCTACCTTTTGTGAGACTGTGTATACTTGATTGCTAAGTTTCTAGGTAGATCTTTATGGCGGGCTGGGGTGCCGCCAGGGACTGGTACCAGAACTTGCCTGGCATGCAGGTGAGTGTTGACGGTGCCAGTCCCACCCCCGACAAGCCTGGTACTTCGGTCCAGCCAGGCACAACCCTTGGATGCACTATCTGACTTCGCCTCTCGAGTCTTTTGCTTCGACAGCTCAGTACAGCCGTGAACAATCCGCGAATTCACTATCTGTCTTCGCCTCTTGAGACTTTCGTTTGCTTCGACAGCTCGGTCCGGGTGTGGGAGCTCGATGGTGTAAAAGAAAACCAGCAATGGAAGATGCCAGAGCCGATATTTCAACACACAATGAATACACTACAACCCGCTGATGCACTGTGTGCTTTGTTATCTCGAAGTCCTCAGTTTGCTCCTCAACAATATAGTACAGCAGGGCACAACTCGCCGATGCACTATATGCTCGAAGTCTTCAGTTTGCTCCTAATAGCCCAATCTATCCAGGTTTTGGAATCGCCATACTCATAGGGCTCGTTGTGCCCCGACGGGTATCTTCCATTGGTGTTGTTTTACTTTGTACTTCAATTATCATCCGTGCTCCGACGGTAAAAAGCTGTCGTCAATCATTTCAGCGTCAACACCATTGTCCAGCCGGCACCACCCGCTATAATATCACAAGGCTTCGTGGCCAAAGCCAATAAACGACATCGGGCCCCTGAGGAACCGTCCACCCCAAGTGTCGAAACCGAGAGCAGCGCCCCGGTTGCTCTAGATAGCAACTTCCTCAGCTCACCAGTACGTGGTTTATCATTCACCCATTCGAGCAACAGATTAGACAAACACAGATTTCGGGGTCTGTTCGTGGCAACGGAGACTAATCTACATTCTTTACAGGAGACCCTCACCGCTGTGAGAATGCCTGCCACCAAGCCGGTTGTTGAGGAGACACAGCAAGACTGGAAGACCTATCTGCCTTCGCCATCTGCGGCAACAGCTGCGACCAGACGACCCTAGATGTTCACTATCACTGCTCTACCTGTGAAGATGGTGATTTCGACCTTTGCCAATCATCTGTCCATATGGGAATTACCTGCCATGGCAGTGACCTTCACGGTTGATACATGATCATGACGACGATAACACCGTTACTTCGCTGGGAAACTAGAATCACGGCCGCGATTGGAGACTGGTTGTAATATGAGGACAGGGGAAAAGTCTGGGATATTCTGTACAGCTGCAAAGAGGCATGCCGGGACCACACGCGGCACCGATAGGTTGCCACATTTCATGTAACTAGGTCGAAACGTAGAATAGATTTTTATACCATTGGAAAGTCAAAGCCTCTATTTTGCGATTATCCCTCAGCAATGGGCATTGAAAATTCCTCGCGTTTGTGAGAGAGTAAATCTTCTCCTGAACTGGCATGTGGCTAAATAAAGTTGGACTACTAACTGGCAAAAGCGCTACATTTTGGATGGCTCTAAAATCAATGATTGCCCCTCTCCCTATAAGCATTAATTTACCTCTGTGGTTTTTCCTCTCTAGTGAATATGTTGCCACATATGGATATATCATCAACTACTATATCTTTTCTGGGAGAGTAAATCGTTTAAGTACGTTCGTGAGAAAATTCGGACCCCGAAAGTACCTAATTTATCTAAGTTATTATTTGTCGTTTGGACATCACCGTGAGAATAGAGCTATTGCGGTAGCTCATAATTATATATTCTCCGTGAAGCCAGTGTTTGAAGGAAACAATAAACAGAGAGGCGCTACTCATAACTTTATGTAGCAACACGGAATCTGAGGGAGCTGCCGATAGGCACCGTGAGGCGTCCATTGACTTCCAGCCTCGAATGTGTGCAGATCGTCGCAGTGGCGGCCCATGAGGTACGGCGAGTACTCGCTAGCAGCACCGAGAGGATGCTCAGCAACGACAGTCAACGATATCGCACGCAGAAAGGTCTGAGGTATAGTGCAGTCTAGTGATGGACTGGACTGCGGTACAATGTATCCGATTGTTACGGTTCCCACGGAGCGCCACAATGTCCTGCCCGATAGAATGGCGACCGATGTGTTCAATAATATCGAGGACATTGACATCAGGTTCAGGTCCAGTGTCAGGAAACTATTGGTTCTCTTGAATATGAGAAGAGTGAGGACAATCTTTATAGGCCGCAGTAGCATACTGAGATACGTGAATCAAACTATCTAACCACAGAGAAAGAATGAGAGAGACAAACAATAATTACCCTAGGTGAGAGCGACGGATCACAAAGAAGAACGTTGATTAGTACATACGCGAATTGGCTTGAAACAAGAGCAGCTAAATAAAATAAACCTAACTGCCTTTGTTAAAAAGGCCATAATGCTTCACATGGCGGAGTGAGCCTCTGACGTCTTCTGCTGACGCTCAGTCACGCCAGTCTTGTCTTTGATGTCTAACCCTTCAGAAAGACTTATAGCCTTCTCGCCATCAGCATCGGTAGCGGCGACGACATTTGGTCGGCCGATAAGAATCATCTTCTCCTGTCTTTTCTGTCGGCGGGTGAACCAAATGACAACCGGTAGCCAAGCGCTCAGGGCGAGTGAAGCTGCGAGTCCAGCCCTGTAACCCTTGTAAAATTGAGGCGCCTCGGTCGTCTTGACAAATACCTTTGGATAAATTGTTAGAAGCCAGATGCCAAATGAGGGTAAACAACGCAAGATAAGCAGAGATGGGCAATATTACCTGGTTCCACCACGTCCCCTGTGCTAATCCGATGGCGTTCAGACTTCCAATCACGATAGCACGCTCCTCGGCGTCTGCCGAGCATACCATGTGTGTCCAGCTGACAATTATAGGAAACAGGGACTGGATTGTTCCAGCTACATAGTAGGCGAAGAATTTAGCCGGTTTGGAAACATCCCATGCCACCAAAATAGACTCGGAGACAATTTGTGTCATGCATATTGCGATGATCGAGTCAACTTGTGTACCTCTCCAGTCGTTGTAAGTGCCAGAGGCAAGCATGAAAACGATAGAAACGGCTGAGTAGACCGTGGGCAAGTTATTTATCTGGGGAACGGAGTAGGTCTTCTCTGCCTTGAGCCAAAGAGCCATTGTAGAGGTAGTCGGTGCTTGGTAAACGAAGTACATGAGTGAAAACCAGGTGGTCTAGGCATGATTCCGTCAGTGATCCATCTACTTCTCTGTTGTTTAGATGAGAAGAAGTCAGACAGATGCTTACCAGGATCCAGAAGTGCCATCTTCCTAGAATACGCTTGAACAACGACATGCCAAAGTTACCAAGCGGTTGACGGTCATCAGCCTCAAGTCGCTTCATGCACATTTGACGCTCTTTTTCTGTCATCCACCATGTCTTCTTTTTGTAGAGCGGATCGGGAACAATGATTAAGCCCAGAATGACGAGCGGGAAGGTAATGAGGAAATCTAGTAGCAATCGTTAGCAATAGAAATACCAGTCATTTCAGAGTGAAGTTGTCGTCTTTTACCAATGATAAACAACCATCTCCAACCGCGGATTCCCAAATGACCGTCCATGGTCTCGTAGATGCCCGCTTGGATATACCCGGAGAACATTGTGGCAGCAATACCGGCAGCAGTAAAAATTCCACTCCGCTTGTTAATCTCGTGGTTTCTATACCATGTACCAATCATGAAGTGAAGACCGGGCCAGCTCGCCGCTTCGAGAAAGCCAACGAAGAATCTCAAGGCATAGATTTGTTCCACAGTCTTGCATTTGTAGATAAATAACACGAAGATACTCCAGAGAAACTCAGCGGCAGGAAGATACCACCGTGGAGAGAGCTTGGTTAGAAGAATTTGAGAGGGAATCTGGCCAACAATATAGCCAATTTGGAACCAAGTGGTCATCCAGTTTAGTTCGTTGCCGTAGAGGCCAAGGTCTTCCTTCATCCCTGAGACATAGGCATTGTTGATGTTGTTGCGGTCGAGGTCTTTGGCGAAGAAGGTTAGGCAGCAGAAGGACAGAACGCAGAAGTCGAGTTTGCGGACGAGCTTGATTTCTTCCTTGGACGTACCGGGGCGGGTCCAGAAGAAGAATTTGTCACTGGACTTCTCGTGGATGACGATCTCGCTAACATCTACAGGACCTTGGCCCTGGGAGTCAGCCTCCTGCGTTTTCTTGCGGAAGAGTCTCATCATCTTTGTTGACTGGCTTAGAGCTGGGTGGTGTAAGTCAATCAGTCGTTACCGAGCAGTCATGACACGGGGATTGAAGATAGACCGATGTCTGGAATCTATTTATTTTCCCCCAATGTGTTGTCAATCTACGATACCTTACCACAAACAGAGTCAACGGGCTCGAAGATAAACTCCAGATAAAGACCCGGTCTATATTGGGCAGATATGGGGAGTGGAGCGATGCGGGGGTTTAGTTGGTATTACGGCTCTTCTCCGATGGCCTGTGGGCCGACTGGATATCGCGTACAGGACATTTCCGATGTCTCGGCCATCTCCTATCATCTTAGGCCTGATAGAAAGTCAACTTGTATCAAGATCTGCGGGCGCAAGGCCGGCTAAATCCGATACACCACAAGCCTACCTTCGATTAAAACCACGTCTAGGAAGTCTAGTGATTACAATGCCGGCTCTGTGACCCTGATTTGTCAGATCCGTCATCCTTGGTTTCTACTGTATCAAAATGGTTACAAGTTCACTATCTCACGAGAGTCCCATCATCATCGTTGGTGCAGGCGTATTCGGTCTTTCAAGGTACAGACGAGACACTGTCCATCGATCTTAAGCAACCACTAACATAGGATGGAAAAGTGCTCTATACCTAGCACAAGCAGGATACACCAACATCACAGTCTTTGACAAGCAGCCGTACGACAAGAATGCCTACTCCACAGCTGATGGGGCGGACGCAGCTAGTGCCGACTTCAACAAAGTCATGCGCATGAGTTACGGAGAAGAGCTGGACTACCAACGCCTTGCATGGGATGCTATCCAAGTCTGGCGGGTGTGGAATAAACAGATTTCGTCGTCCTCGTCGCATGACTTGCCCAAGGGCCTCACCTCGTCAGACAAAGTGTGGAACAACTGCGGTTTCCTCCGCATGAGCACAGACGATGAGTTGACCCAATTCGAGAAATCCACTCTGGAGAATATCACTCGGGAAGGGTTACGATCCACCCAGTTTGTTATTGGCGACCCAGATGATGAGAAGCGAGCGCCTCACTATTTTAGGGAGGGAGAATGGCACAAGAAGTCAGATCCCTTTCACCGCAGGAGGCAGGGCAAAAGTCTTGCGGGCGTCTTTGACACAACGGCTGGCTTTGTCGAAGCCAGCAAAGCCTGCACCTGGACGATGCATCTCTGTCGAAAGAGTGGCGTTCGCTTTGTGCTTGGTGAGAAAGCGGGGCAAGTGTCTTTCTTCGTAAAGTCTCCTGATGGTAACAAGACCATCGGGATCCGAACCGCGGATGGAAAGGAGCATCGCTCAGAATTCTTGATTTTAGCCGGTAAGCTCAAGCTACCTAACTCACAAAACCAGTTATTTCTATCCATGCAACTAACTCGGGTACAGCTGGAGCCTGGACGCCTTACCTCTTCCCCACCATCTCCCCAATGTTAGAAACAACAGCGGGTAGCGTTGTGTACTTTCAGCTACCACCGCAAAAGGATGCACCTCATCTGTGGGAGCGATTTTCCCCAGACAATTTCCCCGTATTTGCATACGGGGGCTGGTCCAAAGGAGCCGGAATCGGTGGATTCCCCCGTACTTCTGATGGAATCGTCAAGATCGGATATCGAGGAACCAAGCACACGAACTATGAGGAAGTCCAAGACCAGAATACCGGAACCAAACACCGCATAAGTGTTCCCAAAACAAGATACTGGCCACATCCTTCCGAACCAACCATCACGAAGCAGGCAGTAGAGGCAATCAAGGCTGTTGTAGTAGAGGCGCTTCCCGAGTTGGCAGAGCTAGGCATTGCGGGTTGCAGAAATTGCTGGTACATTGACAGCCTGGATAACGGTTTCATCATTGATCGCGTACCCGGCGATGGGGGGATGATGGTGTGCTCTGGAGGGTCCGGTCACGGCTTCAAGTTTCTTCCCATCCTTGGCAGAGAAGTAGTTAACATTATCGAGAAGCCGAACGAGAAGAGCCCTATTGCCAAGTTATGGCAATGGAGGACCAAGTCAACTGGTCCTAAGAACGGACTTGAACAAGGAGAATCGGGACCAAGGAACTGGACGAGACAAGAGATGGCGACGAGAAGAGACTTTAATTTTGGGGAGACTGCCAAATTGTAGAAGGAATTAAGTGAATACTTTCCCTCTTTTCCCCTTAGAACAACTAACATAGAAAGTTATTCTCTTCGTAGCCTTTCTCTAGAGGCAGAATGGATGATAGATAGTATTATGGACATTCGTCGTGCAATATTGAATCCCACTGGTGAAATGAGCCTTCTTGGATTCAGTAGAGAGAATTCAATATCCTTTTAATATTATGCACAGATTTCCCAGCCTGCTCCGTATGTCCCCGTCTAAACTGATTTCGATGAATCGAAGTCTAATATGTCGGGTTTTTCTATGTCATGGGTTGCATGAGTAGCTAGGTATTCTCGGATCTTCCGAATACTTGTTATAACATGTCTATTTCACATCAACAAGAATGCCTCTAAAATATAGTGCTCTTTATCAAGTGGGAGTTAGAAGAACAAGGACTGGAAAGGTGTTTGAATTCTAATATTCCAATATAGGCTACGATCTTAATAGACAATAGCTAATAATAATAATAATAAGTTATTGAGCAACTATCATGTAATACTATCTGATTACTGTTACGCAATAGGAAACATTATTATGGTTCTGACTGCCACAATAATTATGTCGAGGTGACTCTGCAGTCCCTGTTTTTCTGACAGCCACTTGTTTATATCACCACCACCTTTAGTGACCATTGACTTTGTGTAACCCATTAGATGGCTGATGGACGCCATTCATCGATCTCCTACCCCAGCCACCACCTCCTGGGGTTTTGATGATGAATTGGTCCCCGGCCTTCAACTTCACGAGGCCACGGGGCCCGAGACTGACGACTCTATGCTTTCCATCATTAAGCTTGCGCATGATGAGGTTTTCTCCAGAGCTTCCATTCTCACCGCCGTTCAAGCCGTATGGTTGCGTCGCTCGACGCTCAGATATCATGGAGAAGGTCAATGGTTCCCTGCTTTCGATGATTCGTTTGACGCCTTCACCTCCCTTGTACTGGCCTTGGCCACCCGAGTTATCACGTACTGAAAATTCCCGTAGGATGATGGGATAGCGCTTCTCCAGGATCTCAACGTCTGAGATGCGGGTATTTGTCATGTGGCAATGCACAGCGCTGAGATATGTTAGCCGTTTCCTCAAGTAGAGAAGTTGCATTGTTTGCCTTGATTCGCTTCAACTTACTCTGCACCATTCCAGCTTGGACCAGCTCCAGATCCCCCGCAAATGGTCTCACCATATGCGAATTTGTAACCATCACCTGGCTTCACGTTTCGGCCACCAAAGAAACCCACACTGTTCATGCAGCCATGACTAGCAGCGCAAGCCTATCAAATCTGGTTAGCCGCATCGCCTTCTTTCTCAAATGATCTGGTATCAATTTTACCTCGAATGCCTTCAAAATCACGTCAACGATTCGCTGGCTGGTTTGTGTGTTTCCTGCATAGACTGCAGCATATTCGGAGGGGTTGAGAATGCTTCCTTCAGGGTTGACGACCTCTATAGAAGATAGGCAGCCCTGGTTAAGAGGTATCTCTTCATTGATGAGACATCGAAGAGAATAAATAATCGCGGAGAGGCAAATGCTCTTAGGCGCATTGTTGTTCCCGACAACCTCAGGGCCAGTGCCTGTGAAGTCAAACGCGGCGCTTCCATCCTTGTTTATGCGAATCTCGAGTTGGATACGGCTTCCATTGTCGAGACAGTCAAAAGCCTTCAATGTACGGCCACCCAGCTTATTTGAAGTGTCTTGTAGAAACTTACGCACCGCAATTTCGGCGTTGGCTTGGATCTTGTCCATATAGAACTGAACGACCTCTCTGGGATGCTCTTCGAACATGGCCTGGATCAGCGCCGCGCCCTTGGCATTGGCTGCAACCTGAGCGCGCAGATCTGACAGGTTGTCATAGATGCTCGACGTGCCAACACAGCCAGGGTACTGAGCAGGCTCATCAATCAAGATCCTCCGCATGCCTTCCTCGTCGAAATTGCCGTTGGAAACAAGCTTGAAACTGATGATACTGGCACCCTCCTGGAAAATTTCGGTCGCATTTGCGTTGCCCGATATACCCTGGTATCCGCCAATGTCTCGATGATGGCCTCGTGATGCGGTGTAGAAGATGATATCCTTGCCTGCGGCGTCGAACACGGGGGTTATCACGGTGATGTCGGGGAGATGAGTACCTCCAGCAATGGGGTGGTTTGAGACAAGCACGTCGCCAGGTACAAGCGACGAAGCGTGGTGTTGGTGCTGATACTTGACGGCATAGGCCATACTACCTAGATGAACCGGCACATCTACGAACAATATGTTAGCTCATTTTTCAATTCAGTGGTTTTGTCTTGATTTCATACGCGGTGCATTCGCGACAAGATCCCCGCTTGGTCCGAAGATGGCACATGAGAAATCTAGCCGCTCTTTGATATTGATACTCACGGCCGTTTTTTGGAGGGTCCGGCCCATTTGTTCAGCTATCGACATGAAACCTAAGTAAACCAGTAAGTTAATGAGTCACAAGTTGATTCAGGTCTAACTGGGTCTCGTGTTCTTACGATGCCCAAAAATAGAGAGCTTGACTGGATCTGCCTCAATGTGCAGAGGGACGCCGGATTTCTGAGTCATTGAAGCTTGTCCAAACTTCACATGCAGAATAACGTGTTCTTTCATAATACGAGCAGACGAGTCTGGAGTGACGATAATCGTTTGGGTCTGGTCGATGATGATGGCTGGCCCATGCAGCTCGGTGCCAGTCTGGAGATCTTTGAGGAGGTATGTCGGCGTGTCTATCCACCCTCCAGAGGCGAAATAAGCTCTCTTTGTTTTCTTTGCTCTTGCATCCTTTATTACTTCTGTGTCTAATTTCTCTTTATAGACGTTGTGTGCCGGGCGTTCATAGTCTCTAGCAATGCCTCGCACGCGAATGTCATCGACGACGATATCGCGTGACGGCAGGAGGAAAGTGAATTCTTGGAGATGCATGCGCTCAAATGCTGCCTTAAAGTCACCATCACTAGGAAGAGCCACCATCATTTGGGTGTCCGTGCCTTCATAGCGGAGATTCAAGAACGGTTGCATTTCCAGGTTCTCTGCAGAATTGACACCTTGTCGTAGGAGCCCCTCGACAGCGCGCTTCTTCAACGATTCGAATCGTGTGCTTATCTCGTCCTTAGAGCTATCACCCAGAGTAAAAGAGGAAGGCTCTTGAACTTCCTCCACAAGGTTCGCGAGCGCCATGCCGTATGCGCTGAGAATACTCGAGTACTTGTGAATGACGACGGTGCCAATGCGGAGATGCCTGGCAATCGAGCAGCCATGCTGGCCGCCAGCTCCGCCAAAGACAGCCAGCCTATGGGCAGATGTCTGATAGCCCTTGCCCTCAGCTAATGCGCGGATTGGACGACACATGGCCTCGTTAGCCACGGCCAGAAATCCCAGAGCAACCTCCTCGGGGGTCTTTGAACCACCAGTCTCGGCATTGATGACCTCAGTCATTTCCAGGAACTTGCTCTTCGTAATCTCGTAGTCGAGTGGAAGGTTCTCGTCCGGCCCAAATATGCAAGGAAAATACTCGGGAAGAATACGGCCAAGAAATAGATTTGCATCCGTCACGGTGAGGGGGCCACCTTTGCGGTAGCAGGCGGGCCCAGGATGAGCAGAGGCACTCTCTGGTCCAACGGCGAAGAGCCCGTTTTTCCAAGAGAGGATGCTACCGCCGCCAGCAGCGACGGTGCTGATGTCGAGTTGGGGCGATTGGATAGTGACCCCGGCCGTAGTGGTCTCAAAGACGTGGCTCAGTTCTCCGCCGAATCGACTAACATCGGTTGACGTGCCGCCCATATCGAACCCAATTACGGGAACCCGGTCATCAGCATGCCAACTTGTCTTAGCATAGCCGACCACGCCGCCTGCGGGGCCTGAAAGAATAGCTCGCAGGCCGGAGAAGGCTGAGATGTCAACGAGACCACCATCAGACTGCATAAACTGGACACGAGCTCCCTCTAGATTACCCTTGAATCCTTTGCGGAAGTTTGAAATGTACCTCTTGATCTCCGGAGTGAGATATGCGTCAGCTGTTGCGCTCATGCCTCGTGAGATGAGCTTGATCATGGGGATCAGGTTTGACGAGGTGGAGATGCTGGTAAACCCCATTTCTTGGGCCATGTCACGAATCGCATTCTCGTGGTCAGGGAAGCTATAGCTGTGCGCCAGGCAGATGCTAATGCTCTCAAATCCCCTTTGCCGCAAGTCTTCGAGTGACTTTCGAGTGCTCGCAATGTTGAGAGGGTCCAGGATGCGGACAATATCCCCGCTTTGGCCGACTCTAAGGGCAGGATTGGAATTGAGCTTGAGGGAGCCTGCTGGAAAAGGGTCCTTGGTGGAATCTTCCATTGTTACCCTCTCGTCTACCTCGACAACCTCAGAGTATAATACTTCGGGCTTCGTAATAGCAAGTTCAAAGAGCTTTGGGCGCGATTGGTAGCCAATCTCCAGCGCATCTTTAAAGCCTTTTGTGATTAAGAGGGCAGATCGCTCTCCTTTCCTCTCTAGTAAGGCATTAGTTGCTACAGTACTTCCCAGGGAGTCAGCTAATGAAACATTGTCGAAACCTGTGGTGAAATAACCACTTACGTTCCCATCCGGATCACGCCTATGTTTTCTGTGCTGATTTTTTGATCTCTTGGGCGAGGGCTTCCTGTAAACTGCTCTAGGATCCTACGGATACCTTCTGTCGGCGCGTCTGGATAATTCAATGGATCAACAGAGAGCAACTTGACAACAATATCATCTTTGCCAGGGGCTTGCGGGATTCCAATGCAGTCAGTGAAGGTACCGCCACGCTGTTCAGAGGCTGTTAGCTGATAGCAGATGCAAACTTTAAGAAGGCTTCTCACATCGATGAAGATATCAATCTTGCCTTCACTTCCATCGCCGGATCTATGAGGCATAGTGACACTAGGACTGTGTTCGACACGGCTATGTGTGATAATGGCTTGGCAAGAAGGTTTCATGGGGCAGTAGACCCTTGTCTCCTCTCTGACTTTGACAACGCTGCAGCGAAATAAGACCCTGCCTTACATACACCGTACATGGCCGAATGGACATTAGGCCATTCAAGGCCGAGTCCGATGAGAAAGGCTGGCCCACAAACGAAGGGTGGAGAAGTGACATAGACCATCGGACAAATCCGATGGCTAACACTGACCCCTTGCTCAGGAGAGTTGACCATAACTCAGGTTCGTGGGGTCACTTGTCCATCCTTAACATTACCGATTATCCCCGTAGAACTATACCATGTAATAGTCGCAAAATAGTGCTTGTAGGCTTTACCTAACCGGTAAACCTTATCCCGCAACTTGAGTGAGATAAGGACCCGTCGGCAATCTCCTACATAACCCACGTACGCCGACGTCGGGTCCTTATCCAAGCGAAGGGAACGTAACAAATGGTATCCTCTTTTGTAACTCAACCTGGATCGATCTTGATTCGCAATTCGCGCATTCCGATTATCGTATGACCAGACCAAGTATCCAAGCTCCGTGTTCGCTCTTCTCCGACCCCGCAGATCTCAACATTCCTCCATCACTCCCTGTTAGTTGGGGAGGAACTCTACGAATCTACCCGTATGGATTTTACCCCAGAAACGCCGACGCCTAGGGATACACCAGTAGCGAGGCTCCGTAGGAGCACATGTGCGTTGATCCCATGCATCCAATGATCGGCAGAAGTGCGAACTAACAGTGCCGCGTGCGAACAGTGGCATGTCAGCGATGTCGTAGGAGGAAGCAAAAAGTCAGTTACATCATTCATGCCTTGTGTCGCTTTCTCTCTAAAGTAATAGAGGGCAAAATCGTTTTTAGTTGCTAAGACTTCTCTTAGTGTGACCTAAGATATCCAAAGTGCTCGACTTGTGAATCTGCGCACGCACAATGTCTCACATACGACACCGAGAAGCAGACCGAGATCCCGCGGGGGTACATCTCAAGCCTAGAGACTCAAGTCAGAGACCTCCAGCTGCAGGTTGAGGAATTGAAGCGAAGTCAAAGCTCCTGCGCCCCCAGCCACTCCCCAATGGTCACCGTCATGCCCGGAGCACGCTCAAGACCAGCGGCAGAGACAAGCCCCATGGGAGCCGTTACGGTGGACTCTGCAGCTTCAGATCCTCAGGAGATGGTCAACTCCATGGGCCTTGTGTTGCTAGAAAGCAGCAATCAACCTCGATTTATGGGCACGAGCAGCGGTGTCACATTCGCCAAGATGGTTCTCGCAGCTATTAAAGACGACGCATTCACTCCCCATGATGGGCCGGTTGGACAGTCAAAGCCACATCCAAAGATTTTAGCTCCGTCCACTGCACACGCTGCGGCATCTTTCCCCCCACGCCATGCAGCAGAGCATATCGTCAGTGTCTACTTTTCGTACAGAACACCCCACGTTCCCGTCTTAGTGCGTTCCCGAGTGGAAGAGGTTATGAACCGCGTGTATGGTTCCAAGGAAACTTCGGCAAGTAGCTTATCCAGCGTTCACGAAAGAGACATGTTCATTGCCAACATTGTTTTCGCGGTCGGTCTCCATGGCATGCCTGTCGCTGGAGGTGGTCGGCCATCCCAGAGTGAGACCTGCTTTCATGCAGCTCTGAATTGCGTGGAGGGGTTGTTAGCCTACTCTCCAAGTGATCTGGAGACCCTCACCGTGGTTTTACTTCTAGCTCAATATATCGAGCTTAATCCTTCGCAGGGAAGCTTGTGGCAGCTGACCGGATTTGCGCTCCGTCTCGCTATCGATCTTGGTTTGCATTGGGAAACAAACAATATTTTGGCTATGCCGGACCCTCTTTTAAATCAAAGACGAAGACTGTATTGGGCCACATATCGCTTTGATCGATATCTCTGCATCACGCTTGGAAGACCATTTGGTATTGCCGAGTTGAGCATGAATTCCAAATTCCCAGATCCTTATATCTCCGAGACTCAGCCGCAGGGTGAGGTGACAACCTTGGAGATACACAATCAGTTTTGCTCAAATCACTTTCTCAAACTATATACTCTGGAATCAGAGATTAAACACGTCCTCTACCACCAGCTCCAAGGCTCGTCTTTAGCATACCCTCGAGCCAACTACGAGCTATGGTTTCCAGAGATACAAAGCCGGCTCCGTTCATGGAAAGATGAGATTCCTACGACTGGGAACGAGACCGACAGCATATACTCGTTGCCTAGCTGGTGGGAGGCACATTATTGCAATGCGTTGTTGCTGCTTCACCGGCCTACCCCTAGAGTGCCACGGCCCACGAAGTCATCTCTCCAGGTTTGCTTTGACGTGGCTCGTCAAGCCATCCAGTCTATCAAGACATTGCAACGAGAGGGGAGGGTAAGTGTAGCCTGGCCATGGGTGCACCATCTGTTCCTCTCCGGTTTGACCATGATATACTGTATCTGGCAGTCAGACGAGGTTCGCACGGCTGCCTCCATCGTCGAGGTTATGACCGCCAGTCAGGACTGCGCAAGCACCTTGTCCGCCCTTGCCGAGCGCTTTGCAGACGCTGGTGGGTGTAGGGATGCGTTCGAAAGACTCTCATCGACGACTTTGAAGTGGCTACTTAGTTGCCGGGATGGGTCTGCAATTGGAGAAGCCAGGCACCCGCCTACACTTGGAAGTGAGATGGACTGTTTGAGAGATATTGCACCGTTCTCATCAAACGGCTGGCAGGCTGAAGGACTGACGAGTATCTTTCCAGACGAGCCTTATGAATTTGCTCAATTCTTAAGCGCGGCAGCACAGTGGGAAGATTTGCCCGGGATAGGTGATATATTCCACCCTTTTCAGGGATAATATCGTTTAACAATTTAATAAAAAGAGGTATTCATTGTGTTGAGATGTCGGGTCTGTCATCTTTTATTGTTGTTTAACTTCAATACTCAAACTATAAAAAGAAGCGTTTTTGGTGAAAGAATTATTAGTAGTTATTTAGTAGCTATTTATAACTATTTAATATTTATTAGAGAACATCCCAAGGGCACGCATTACTTTAGGCTTTTACCGAGAAATAAGAAGCAGTGCTTAAAATACTTTACCAACACCAAAGTTTTTACTACAAACTTCATTAGCAAAAATGAACATATCATGGTACTACTTCGGGCTCAGGGATTTCAACACTAGAATTCTGAGGAAGCATTTTGGCTGTCCAGGGATGTACAGAGAGGTGTGGAGGATGAGGAAGGGAGCAAGAGGTTGAAGCTATCTGCTCTCTCCTTCTTGTCTCAACTCATGTCTCAGCTCACTCAATTTATATACTTGATCAAGAAATTACAACTTTTATACAGGGCTATACGTGAAGGAAAATTCTTCTACACTAGCCTCAAGGGATAATTAGGTGCTGTAGATAGCAATCTCATCGCCCTTTTCAATTCATAAAACAAATTGGCACTCAGTGTTCACGTGAATAGATCGATATAGCTGAAGAGAGCTTCGAATAATCGAATCTTAAATTCATACAAAACAATGGCCTGGTAGTTCCAACTTGCCATATAATCCCTTCTCCCTATCTTTCACATTTGCCCTCACACTGAAAATTCTCATGATCTTACTTCAGCATCTGTCATCATAGGCCTCTTCTCCCGCTCCAATACTGCTCCTCCAGCGGGTACCTCTCTCACGCGCCTTGTAAACTTATATACCCACTCTGGCCCAATATTTGCCTCCGACTTGTATCTGTTAGTGATCCTTCGGCTAATTTCAATGCTGCCATAGCATCAATCTTCCCATGAAATTGGAATTTGTTATCTTGAACAACTTGTATGTCTCGCATACTACCGTGGTGCCGTGCCACAACCTCCCAGGCTTCTATAAGTTTGGGACTGAGAAAGCCCCCCCATGAGTTCTGAAACTCTATGCTATGAGTGTCCTGGGACCGCCGGTACCGGAATATGCTCCTCCATCTCTCTTCGTCGTAGTTCCAGAGCTCCATTTCTCGCAGGTGCGGCATATGGTACGCCACCGTGGCAGCTTGCTTGAGTTGACGCTCAAATCCCTCGGGCCAAAGTCGTGGAGCGAATAATGATAGTTTCTTAAGGTCACTTACTACCCTCGGTTTAGGCTGGGCTTTCACTGCTTCGAAAAAGTGGCAAGCGTCAACCGAATCATTGATATACAGCTCCTCCATGTTATTGCTGGCTATTGCGAGAGCAGCAGCTACAGCCTTACTTTCCCGTGACCCAATCCACCATGAGCACGCCGGTATGCAGGGACAGCGGATGGATCTTTCGTAGACGGATACTCTTCCCAAACTTTTGTGATACTTGGAGCTTAGTGAGGACAGGAACAGCTCCTCAAGCTCAATGTCTCGAAGGTCTCTTTCAGAGCTGTCTATTTGGCAGGCACCCTCCTTCCAAGACTCATAAGTCAGGTCTCTTAGGCTGGTAAAGCTCACCAGCATAGGATGGAGTGTCTTGGGGACCGAGAATCGTCGGTAGCACTGTAAGCGGACGACCAACGCCTTCACTGCAGGGACCTTTGGTAGTTTCCGCATGCGCCGAGCAACAGGGGACCGCTTATCGAATTGCAATCCTCTCGGATGTCCAAAGATTCTCATCCTAGGATCCCGCATTAGCGGCCCCCGGCGACCTTTTTCCCAACCATGGATGCTATCAGTGATGGGTTGATGCGTGTGAACAGCGCCCAAACTGTGCCAGGAAGTATCGTTCATTATTGAACCATATTCCTGCGCGTAGTGGTCTGTTAGGCTTGGCGAGTCAGCGCTCAGTTCTAGTGTGATTCCACTGTGCGTTGCGTCAAATTCCGACAGGATCTCGAGCAGTCTCCAGGTGGCGTTTGTGAATGTGAACTCAATATTCTTGTCCTCCTCGACTGATTCAGGCAGATGACATTTCGCGCAATTGTACAGCGGAAGCTCTACACGCAGCCAGACCCACTTGACAAACAAAGGACGTTGCGTGTTTTGGACGAGTCGACCGAAGGTTTCGACATCGTCTTGGTGAAGGATCAGTTTGCCAAAGTTAGAGCGCTCGAAGAACAACCTCCACTCGTTGGACACTGAGGCGTATGCCCCTTGGGAATTGCCAATAGTCATCTCTCTGCGTCTCGATCGTTGCTTGGCAGGTTCATACTGGCGATCTTTCGAGACCACCAGGAGTTCGAAGATCATCCACTTGATTTCTGTTGGTAACGATGTCCAGGACGCCATGATGGGATTGCCGATAAGAAAAGGACAGGTATAGTTCTGTGGCATTTTTCTGTGATATTTTTCCGTGATCGTGGATATCCAAAACTAGGAGCATCGGAGGCTATTCATAATGGCCGTCAAACTCTAAACAGTGCTGAAACTTCTCGCCACTTTTTTTTTTTTTAATTTTTTTTTAATGAAAATAAATAAATAAATAAACTTTGCTTTAGTTTGAATCCCGCTAGGCGTAAAGGGCTTTGTGACGACTTTTAGACCGAACTTTGAAGATGAGTTCACATTGGATAGGTCACGGTGCGCCTCGTAGTTCCGAGGCCTGCCAAATATCTTTCCAACTTCCAACAGGTTTGGGAACTTTGAGACGCCATGTCGAATTTACAGCTGCTTCTAAATTTGAGTTCGCAGGGATGAATGAGCATATTTGTGCCCGGCAACTTCACACACCTCCATTACTTTGCCCCCCCTTTCAGACTCATATCCTTGTATTCGCTGTCGGGGAGATCTAGAGTTCTACCTAGGTTTGCACCTAACCAAATCAAATTAAATCAAAGGCTAGCCTGCTAGGAGACCCAGAGCGATGATGTTCGCTTTGAATATACAGAGGGACCCGAAAGTCCCCCCCAAACGCGTTGGCGTGATTCTTTGAGCAATCTTCTAGAGAAATGTGTCTTATGGATTGATCACTTTGCTAATATTGACAATCTGCTATGATGCTGATTGCGTAAAAGTAGGATTCGCTCGATTTTGGATATTTGGTTTGAATACTATATGGAAAGAAAAGGTTTTCGCGAGCAAAGTTTTGAAGCATTTGCTCGGCAGCAGCCTCATAAAACCTTGATTTCATTTTGACTCGATTGTGGAACTCCAAGGCTTCTCTCTATGATTATTTAAAGGCAGCCATTCTCCTTGCTCCCGGTTCAAAACTCACACCTCTGATCCCACACAACACAACACCTACGCGTACCCGTTAGACTTAGAGTACGACTTCTCTCAGCATCTATTTTTCCATTTTCAAATCTCAAATACCTTTACCAACGAAGTTCCGGAACTCTGAACTGCTCGAGAACAGCACAGTTGTTTCCATCAGCAACATAAGCATAAACAGAGTCGGCACCACATCACCTAAAAACAGCACATTTATCTGCTCTACAACTTTATTCACCATGGATGTTCCATCTGAAAAGGGAGGCTGGCTGATCGTCATGACCGATTTCATTCCCATCGTTGCCCCGATGCTGTATCTCATTGTTCATTCGCACAACCCGATTCCCGTCGCGCCCTCTCATCTGAGCGATGATGACCGCGCAACGTTTTACGTTAGGCATTGGCGGACCTGGGGCTTATTCGCAACCATGAATATCTCGTTTGTCGCGACAAGCGCATTCAGAGCAGGAATTTATCGGGATACATCTTGGCTATTCCCCTATAATCTTGACCCAGCAGCTCTTTGATCCATTTATCCCCTCAACGGCCTTTGCACTAAACTTTATCCAGTTTTATTCGAGATCGGTTACTATTATCACCAGCGAGGGGAAGGTTCACATCACTCCCTGAAGCAAGAAATGCACTTGAGGCAACACCTGAGTTCCAGAACATTGCTTCGCATCCTCCCATCTTATCTTGCTTGCCCACGGATACCGGAGCATCGGATACATCATTGTTTACTAGGTCGAACGTGTCACCATCCAGCTCGACTCCATGGATGAAAGGTTACTCTTGCAAGATGTAACGGGTGTCGTGGAGATAATCCAAAGCCCTGGATCCAAATTATAATGCCTCTTGTAGTTACTGAACGCAATACACCTGATTATGTGAACCATTACCGAGCCTATCAACAACCACGAGCTAATCCTTCAGATATTTTTGATGTTTTGTTGTTCGATTTATTATTTTTCAACATTACCCTTTCTTTCTCAAAATTACTGTTGAAGTAGTTGATATTTCTTCCATATTGAGTGTCATCATCGGGCCTGGGTGATGAGCAAGGCTATATATAGGGTACGTCATCTTCAAATTACGGAAGTTATTGGCGGCGCCATCTCCACATGAGCAAATCCCGAAGGCGCCGAAGCGTTTCTCTGATGTAACGTCTACGGAGTGAGATCCCCGTATCCTAATCTCACGGGAGAGAAACTCAAGGGTGTTTCTGATTTCTTGAATACTATTGGACTCTGATATTGATGAAAATCAAGGAGGTGCTGATATCAAATAGTGTGTCAATTGTTGTTCGCATCGGTGAATCACGTGATGATTAGCTTCCTCTTTATATTAGTCCAGATCAACCCCAATCCTTTTCCCCCAAGTTGGATCTGATATCGTGATTGTTACCCGTATTCGCCATGCCCGAGGAGAAATTTCAATTTATTGGCCAAAGCGGCCAGTTTAGCCAAGATACTCAGGCGACAAATAAAGTCGTCAGAGCGCATGTGATGCGCCGATACAGGCGTCAGCAAAAGAAAAAACAACCAGTGTCGCCCCCTGGAAACATCAATACGGGACTGAGAAGGGGCTCTGGCACGACTGTGCCGTCAGATCCATGCCCTCAACCAAGCCCAGGGAGCGTCGCGGCGGATTTCGTGACCAGCGAAGATCCATTCCCAGACTCTTCTGCGGCATACCAATCAGATTCTCCACTGAGCGTTCAGACCTGGCTGGATGGTGAGCTCGATCCCTTTTCCAGCTTGCCCGTAGCGGCTGACTCGCGTTCGCTCATGCTCCTTCATCAAAGTCAGTTCTTCTCTAGTGCCTCAACCGCAGGCCATGACTGATTCCCCCCACAGACGCAAACTCATTCATTCGAACTTCGGTCCATTCAGATCCGAGTGAAACTTATCGAAGTGTGTGTAGTAAGAACCCTGCGTGGCTCTTCATGCATCTTTTTTATGCCGCCTCGCGATTCTCGGAGGCTTTAGGAGATTCTTCCTCCGTCGCACCGTATTACCTGCTTCAATCCATATCGGCAATAAATAGGACCATCACAACATCACCAGAGATGATTGACGATGCAACCATTGCTACTGTGGCATGTATAGCCAACGTGGAGGTATGTTGAGAGGTGGCAGGCTTGCAAGAATCGCCCTATACTGACTATGCAGAATCTCAACGGGCGGGCTTCCAATTCCATCATCCACATAAATGGCTTACGGCAGATGGTACAAATGAGGGGCGGCCTGGAAAATCTAGGCATGCGAGGCATCTTACGTCGGATGGTATTGTGGTAAGTCATCGAGGCAAATAATTTTTGATTACATCGGTGTTTTAACACGTCAAAAGGTCAGACCTCCTCGCAAGCCTAAACTCCAGAACCGCACCTTATTTCCCTGCCTACAATACTGAGAAGCCGTTTCAACTGTGGCAGTTCACGCCAGTCGACAGCCGAGATAGATATCGACTCATACTCAACAAATCATTGGCAAAGATGACCACCAGGAAGCATCACATCAACATCAACGAGCTGTTACTTTCTTTGCACGAGCTGTCTACCTTTCTCAATTTGATTGGCAACCGGCCACTCCCATGGGACGCCTACTATCCTGACAGGGTGTACGAAGTTGAGTACTGTATACTATTATCGCAATTCGATGACAATCTTGTCACTGAAGTGGATGCCACAGGAATCGGGCAACTTCTGCTTCACGCTGCTCTCCTCTTTGTCTACACCAATCTTCGAGAGACGCCTGTGGGAGGACGCATACGACGCAAGCTGCTCTTCCGCTTGATTTGTGCTCTTGATTGCATTGATCTGTCGTTCCACTCAAAGACTTTTTGCCCGGAGATTCTCTGGGCACTGCTCATTGGGACTCTCGCGGCTACGGACCAAGCGCAAGCAGATCTTTTAAATACAGCCAAGGGAATATGTATCGAAAACGGGATTCACACGTGGATGGAAGTTATGGAACAACTGGAAGCAATGCCATCACTAGTAGAAAGTTGCATGGTAAAATGTATGAACCTATGGATGGATCCTTGAATGTATGAGATAGGTTATAGTATATTTAAATGAAAAGAAAATAGCCATAACATTTAATAAGATCGGGCTGTTTCTCTATAATATAAATACCGATAATTTAGGGACCCAAATTCTAAGCCTTTTTCTGAAGAACCGTCTTGATGCTGTTCATCTTGTTAGTGCGCGGATGAGGGTGGGACGATTGGTGGAGATTGAATCTTACCGTCTTAACCCTTCATCCACAACTTCCGGAGGCTGAGTGTAGACAACTCTGTACCAGCCTTGTTTACCATGTTCTTCCTTGGGGTGAAGAAAGACACCTGCGTCAAGTAGTCTCTGGGAGAGGTCAAACTCGGAGGCTTCCACACTTTGATCAAGGTACGGAGAAAGGTCAATGTATACGAAGAAGCCGGCGTTGGCTGGTAGGTAGTTGATACCCAACTCCCTCAGCCCCGCGGTGACATGCTGATAGGCTTCCCCAATTCTGCGGCGGGTATTGGAGATGAACTGGGTGCACCAGTCCCGATTGCTTAGCATCGCCTTGGCGATCGCGACGGACGCACCGGAAGGATTATGGAAGCGCATTGTCATTTGTATGACCTTTAGCATTGGTTCGCTTCGTGTTATCAGGCAGCCAAGACGGAGCCCGGCTGCACCGAAGTCTTTGCTAAATCCGTATATGACGTGAAGCAGCTCATCATCCAGATATCCTGGCTCAATTGACAAGACGGACGTGAAGACGGGCATATCACTGCTGAAAACAGACGTGGCGTATATCTCGTCGCTGATGAGATGGAGTCGGTTCTTCTGGCAGAACCTCATGATCTCGATGAGCGTTTCCTTGGGATAGCAGCGCCCAACGGGATTGTTGGGATTGACTATGAGAAGAGCTCGTATCTCCACACCAGCAACGCGAGACTCGGCCAATGCCTTGTCGAATGCGTTGACCACGTCGACGTCAAACGAGTTCTCAGCAGTTGTATCTGCATACACTATCTTAAGGCTTGCTTTATTTCCGAAGTCGAGCTCGAACCGTCCGTATACGGGTCTGGAGGTCAGGATACCGTCGTGGGGATTTCCCACCGCCCAGCCTAGGATCTCGTGCATGGCCGTTGCCGCACCGGTGACTCGGATCTCACTTCCGTCCAGCGGCCGAGAAGGTTTGAAGTATTCATTCACATGCTGGGCTATCACGGCCGGTAACTCAGTTCCACCGGCCGTGCTGTAGCCATAGCCGAAGACTGATTTCGGAAAGGTGACCTTGGAAGTATTAGACGACGTTTTGGAAGACATGTTTTGAGAAAGGGGCGGATTTCGCCGTTGTAGGGACTCGGCGAGGATACATGTATGTTGTTTACTCACATAGTCCCTTGTAAAGTCCTCAAGATCTTGATGCACAAGAGCCTAAAGGTCCGATTAATATATGGACGAGTTGACCAGACCATGGTTACTTACGTTCTCAGCAGTGGCAAAAGAAACCAAGCCCGAAGGATTGTCGTTGGGCGAGTAGGTTCCTCGTGGAGCCCATCGCCAAGGCAAATCCAGGTCGCGAATCAGGTCGGTTGCGCGGGCGGAGAGGAAGTTGTCCATCTTGATAACGAGTTGAGGTGTGATTTTGGAATGATGCGAGCCAAGAGAGGGGAGAGTGACGGGTCATAAGGTCACTCAATTGCTGGCAGGGTCAGCCAGCAACGAGGGTTCTCACTCATCTCCAGGATGATGTTTCTCCACAAACAAACCAAAACCGTTTCGCCGATGTACGGACACATGTTTCATTGGCCAAATGTGATCCAACCAGCGAGGAGGAAGCTTATCACTCCACCATTACCCAAAATGGATAATGCTGATCCCTGTCAACCCCACAAAGTAAAATGTGTGGTTCGGCTGATAAGATAAGTCCAACGACTCTGCACCGCCGGTCCTGCTTCTGCCATGATACCTGTTCACTTGGACAACAAGTCAAGCCTTCCCTCATTGTGCTAAGTCACACCCCCGCCCCCAAGCATTATACTCGGGCGTGTTCCAAGCAGCGAGATAAGGATCGGGCTCGATCCATGTGACGAGGTGCGCTTCTTCCCAAAAGAGTGAATGGTCTAGGGACCTTGGCGGCTTGTCTCCCACGACTTGATAAGCGACGTGGTATAAATCCCCCCAAAGCCACCCCCGAGAAGGTCATGAAAATTTCTCTCTACAACTCTCTTACTTGGCACTTACGCCATTTGATAATTATTTTCCGCCTTCATCACTCTCAACCCACATGGAATCCCATAAGATCCAGATGGACAAGGACAAGGCAGACCAAGGGCCGGAGGCCATCCAATCCTCCGACAATCATGTGCTGCCAGAGGACACCAAGCTGGGGGACATCGACAAGTCCCTCCAAGCTGGTGAGCTGACTATGGAAGAAGACACGGCTGGAGGTATGGGCCGTCACTTGGGCCTGTTCTCTACCACGTTGCTGATGTAAGTCAAGACAACATACCAAGCCGACCCAGCTCTAGACTGACACCTTTTCAAGCCTAGGCCGCATCATTGGTACTGGAATATTTTCGACTCCCTCCTCCATTACAAAAAGCACCGGCAGTGTCGGGGCGGCCTTGCTCATCTGGGTTCTCGGCTTTGCCATCTCCATGGCTGGCATGTTTGTCTGGCTCGAGTTCGGCTCAATGTTCCCACGAAGCGGAGGGGAGAAGGTCTACCTTGAGGCATCATACCGATACCCGAAATCACTTGCCACAGTTGTATATGCTGTATATACCGTCTCGCTCGGCTTCACTGGTACGTGACTTTAGAGTAAGATGAAAAGACAAGCCGAAACTAACACTCCCTCTAGCGACTGGTGCTATATCCTTCGCCAGCTACATGTGGGTTGCTGGCAATAAGACTTCTTCTGAGTGGCAGCAAAGAGGCGTTGCAGCTGCCGCCGTCGCAGGCACATGCCTGATTCACTCGTTTGCTCCCCGATTTGGTGTCATGTTCATGAACGCAATCTCAAGCCTCAAAGTCTTCACCCTCTTGTTCCTCATCGTGTCTGGCTGGGCTGTCATGGGTGGCGCGATTTCCAAAGAGAAAATCCCCGACCCCTTCGCATCCTTTGAGAATGCATTCGAGGGCTCCTCTCGTGGAGGCAACGCTTATGCCACTGCCTTGTTCAAAGTCTTGTTTGCATTTGCCGGCTGGCAGAATGCTGCTTACGTTCTGAACGAGGTCAAGGATCCTGTCCGGACCCTTCGTATCGCGGGACCTATTGCTTTGACCATCAGCGGCGTCCTATACTTGCTGGCCAATGTCTCGTACTACGCCGCCGGGACACCAGCCGAGATTTCCAAGTCTGGGGTCACAGTCGCAGCTTACTTCTTCGAAACAGTCTTCAATGACGCTGCGAAGCGGGCCTTTAGTGTTCTCATAGCATTTTCTGCCCTGGGAAATGTGATGACTGTCACCTATGCCCACTCGCGCATCAACCAGGAGCTGGCAAAGGAGGGAGTCATTCCCTTCCCTCAATTTTGGGCCAGCACATGGCCTTTTGGAGCACCAAGTGCTGGCCTTCTCTTGCACTTTATCCCTTCCTTCATCATGATTGTCGGCGTGCCTTTTGGTGATGCCTATAACTTCATCATCAACATCGAGGGCTACGCTAGGTCTATTTTATTCCTGTTAGTCGTGACGGGTTTGTTCTGGCTTCGTAAAACGAAGCCCTTGGCACACCGCCCGATCCGCGTCTGGTTACCCGTGGCTGTCTTGTTCCTCGTCGGACAGGCATTCTTGCTCGTCGCACCATTTCTTGCCCCTGACAAGGGAACAAGCGACACTAGCATTGTCTACTGGGCCTACCCTCTCGTTGGAATCTCCGTCATTATCGTGGGGGTCATCTACTGGGTTACATGGAAACAAGCACTGCCGAAGTTGTTCAATTATCAACTGAAGGAAGAGAAACAGGCCCTTAAAGACGGCACTGTCGTTACCAGATTTCTCAAAGTAGCTAATTAATGTCCACAGGAGGAGCGTGAACCTTCGCTATAAGAATATTGATGAAATTAGGCATGGTGGTGAAATCAGAGGAGTTAAGTAAGATGTATATTTGCATGAGGACGTGAGAAAAATATCCTGTCTGTGGAGAAGGATTGGATTTAGGTGTTGTGATCCAAGACTTCCTCAAATTCATAGCTACTCACGCATACCCACCTCTCTGTTCTGCACTTCTCTAATTCCTGTTAGCGGACCCTAAACCTTTCTTCTTTCGGCACCACATCATTATTGAATGTTTGGCGAAATTATTGATCAGCCGCCGCCAAGAAAATTGTCTTTCAGTCGCTACGGATTAAATGGTTCTTTCGCCTGGGTACCTTGCCTAGTTATCATATCAACTCGAAATAGGTAGATACATAGGAAAGGGGCGTAAGAAGGGAATGGAAATTTCAGTCGAATGATATACGACCTCTTAGTGTCTAGAAGTGTCTTGAAAACTATGCTATGTCGATCCCCACCTTTTCCCTTCCCTTTATTTAACATTTTTAAGTTACATTACATCAACTACACTAATGTCACTTTAACTACCTATACTCTGTGAAATAAATACCTAAGTATTTAATTTTTGCGAACTAAGCCCTTAAGGAACCAGCATATTAGTTCTCACTTAGTTATATCCTCATCATTCAAGTAATTAAGGACATTAGCGGGTGTTGGCATGCTTAGATGCTATGTCTATTCATAAACTTTGTATTCCATATTCATTAAAACCTCAGTATGAGGCAAGCTCTTACTTTGCGTGACTGTGGCTCATACTATTCCCCTTGATGACCACTAGAAAACGCCTTGCCAGGCCATACTCTAAGCTCCCATATCGAAAACCATTTTTAAATCAGATCGTACTTAGTTTAACAGAACATCTTGATAATCAAGTGGTGATTGTCTCAGGAGAGTAATTGGAGACAACACGTGTAACAGCTACAGGAAAAATAGAGACAGAATGAAGGATTGCTCAAAATTCATGACCCAGTTCTCTTCCAGAAACAGGTTCATTTGGAAGCGCGATTGCGGTACTCTTTTAGCCACTTTTTGAAATGAACTTAGCTTGTCACTAGGAATTTTGTATGCGTTGAAAACTATATGGACAATAGCGACTGCCGGAAAAGAGTGGTTGAAAGCATGTGTTGGTGACTTGGGGGGTTGTTGAAATATGAGCAAAACTGAACGAGGGTAACGACTATAGGACTTCTGTAACAAGGTACAGCAACTTTGAGGAGCCAACTGAATTGATTATCTTTACTCCTCTACCTGACTTTGGAAACGTGACTTGGAAGAGTGGGTATAGGGGAGTTGTTGAGCTCTTGAAGTGGTACACTCAACACGTTTTAATACATCTTGCACTAACACTGTATCAGTTGCGAAAATTTTATGTCAGCACCGTCCCCCATTGTTGTGTTGCTAGCACCTTAGATCGCTCCGACAATATTTTAATATTCGACTACGGGTAGAATGAGGCTATAATGCTCGTTTATGACACTCATTGACTCATCAAATGGGCTATCGACTTGGTAGACAGAATCGGTAGCCTTAGAATCCGGAACGCCGCAAGAATTCTACGCTGTCGTGTGAATCCTTGGATTCTTATATTTGATTACAGTTTCGATCATCGTTATGAAATATCTATTTTCCGTCATGGCTCAGCTGGAGGTCGGGTTAGTTGAGTGTACCGATAGTCGGGTGCTTAGTGGCGGCAAAGTGCCTCTGCACGAAACCCTTCACCTTGTCTGCTACACCAGTGCCAGTATTATCATAAGTTGCTCTCTTCTAAGCATCTATGTAAAGATGCGCAGCCTGTGCCTTATCTCTGCGCCTAGGGTTATTTGGTCTTGCGCCTTTCTTAAGCAGCAATTTAATCGTACCCTTTTGCTCTCTATTTTCTGCAAGGTGCAACGGGGTCCGGCTAAAGTGATCTTTAGCCTCAATTTCTGCGCCTTTCTCTAACAGCAGCTTTACAAAAGCCTCTTGCCCACTCTTAGCTACAAAGTGTAACGGGGTCCGGCCAAAGCGATCTTTAGCCTCAATTTCTGCGCCTTTCTCTAATAGCAGCTTTATAACAGCCTCTTGCCCACTCTCAGCTGCAAGGTGCAACGGGGTCCGGCTAAAGTGATCTTTAGCCTCAATTTCTGCGCCTTTCTCTAACAGCAGCTTTACAACAGCCTCTTGCCCATTCTCAGCTGCAAGGTGCAACGGGGTCAGGTCAAAGCCACGCTTAGCCTCAATTTCTGCGCCTTTCTCCAACAGCAGCTTTACAACAGCCTCTTGCCCACTCTCAGCTGCAAGGTGCAACGGGGTCTGGCTAAAGCTATCTTTAGCCTCAATTTCTGTGCCTTTCTCTAAAAGCAGCTTTACAAAAGCCTCTTGCCCACTCTTAGCTGTAAGGTGTAGTAGGGTCTGGTTAAGGTGATTTTTAGCCTTAATTTCTGCGCCCTTCTCTAACAGTAGCTTTATAACAGCCTCTTGCCCATTCTCAGCTGCAAGGTGCAACGGGGTCTGGCTAAAGCTATCTTTAGCCTCAATTTCTGCGCCTTTCTCTAACAGCAGCTTTACAACAGCCTCTTGCCCATTCTCAGCTGCAAGGTGCAACGGGGTCTGGCCCTTTCGATCCTTGGTTTCGAGTTCAAATTCTTTGCCGTCACCGAGTAGTAGTTTCACGGTTTCATGGCTCGCCGACATGGCGGCTTGATGAAGTGCAGTCCTTCCACGAAAATTGCGCAATTGACGATTTGCTATCGGGTTAAGATAGCCACAAACGTCGCCGTGCCCTTTTCTTGCAGCCCACAATAACGGCGAATTGCCAAACACATCCTGTATGTCAACTTTCGCCCCAGCCTGGATCAGCGCCCGGACGGTGTCCTGATGGCCGGAGAAAGCTGCGCAATGAAGGGGCGAGAAGTTGTCCCTCCCCTGTGCGTCGACATCTGCGCCTTCGCTTATCATCAGTTGCACTGTGGAAACTCGGCCTACACGACAAGCATAGTGCAAAGGTGTCCATTCCCGCAGATCGCGAGCGTTAATATCACATGTGCCAATCAAAACCTTTGTCGTCATAGCAATATACCTGTCGCTTAATCCTTCTTGTGTCGAAGCTACGTAATGGAAGGGTGTCCAGCCAAGGACATCAACAGGCTCGCTCGAGGGTTTGTGATTGGGCAATAGGTTATGATCTCTGGCCCGTCTATGCCAATCATCGACGTGGAATTGGGGTGGGAAATCTTCTCCTTTAGCTTCAATTTCGGTTTGTTTCTCATTCCAACCACGATTCTGGAAATGGTAGAGCGCCTTCAATTTCGGAAATACGTTTAGGCCTGTCAAATCATGTTCCAGAGATGTAGCCATCCGTCTTAATTTTCTGGTTTCAGTTTCCCCATCTTCGATGGCAAAGACGACCTGCCTCCAAAATCGGAGCATGGCAGCGGTGGCCTTGATATAGATGAAGCTGTTCTCATCAAAAGTTCTTGTTCTTCTGAAAAGCCACATATAGATATCTTTAGCCTCTTCCCACTGGGCCTTTTGCTCATACACTCTGGCCTCCCTTCGTGCTAGGTCAATAATGGCGTCAGGTCCTGGTAGCTTCTTGTTGACGCTAAGAGGGGGGAGAAGGCATTGGTAAACTTGTTCAAGACTGCCGAGCCCAGTTTGCTGGATTTCAAAGGCCATTTTAGAAAGACGATCATTCACTATCGCGAAGGACTTCAAATTGTTCACGCCACCATTATTAGCATCAGACCGCAAAATAGCCTTGCCGAAATGAGGACTAGCTTTAGTATTCGCTGTAGCTCCCCACATGAAAGCAGAGAACATGTCCTGAGCAGCTGCTAGCCTGAGTGGTATATCTTTTGCCGCGGCCAAGAACGAAGGGTTTGAGCCATCAGAAAATTCACTATTTGCTTCGAATTCAGGTTCTTCCAAGTCGCTTCCTTTGAATTGGGCCGCGTTGTTCTTGGCCGCGCCAACACCGTCAAACCCACGGCCAACGATGACTGTATACGTTTCGAGCCTAATCTCACTAGAATTGTTGCCTGCCGTATCCAAGCTACTATTTTTGAGGACCAAAAGTTTTGCTTCTTTCGTCGGCATCCACCACCAGATATCCCGGTGCAGGGCTTGTGAATATCGCCCAAGGATACTAAGCGATGGCTTGGCAGACAGCCTTTTTGCTTCCAACCAAGAATCATCCCTAGTATCTGCAACCGAGGCTGGTTTTTCACCCTGTTCCGTTGCTTTTTGGCGGGAATGAAGCTCGACAGCGAATAGCCATAAAGACAAGGCTGCTTCGATCTCGTCGGAGTATACTTTCCACTTTTGACTTAATTGGTGCCGTTCGGCCCGGAAATTAACAGATTGGCCTTTCGAGCTTTTTAAAGACCAAACATACGTCCCTTTTGTTTCTGAGAAGAGAGCATCCATCACAATTTCAATGGATTTTGCGACAGCGATGCCCTCCCCAGACGAAGGTCCAGACCATGTTGGTTGTTTCGAAGGCCCATCGCAGTAGCTTGCTAGTTTACCCAGGTTCAGCCTGTTCCACATCAAGTCATGTGGCTTAGTCTCAGTTGCATCGAACTCAGATGCGGGCTCAGTTTCGTCCGACTCAGATACCGACTCAGTCGCGTCCGACTCATTTGCATCCCTCTTCCTTAGTAACTGTGATGATTCAAACGTGTCGATTGTCCAATCTTCCATGTCAGGTGTTTCCGGCTGATCAGACCTCTCAGCAAGGGAGTCGAAAGCCTTGGGGTCTCGCAGCACTCTACTGAGCCACTCAAGCTCGAATCCTGATAGGAGTTTCTTGCACTTTGGAGGGGATGCCAGCCCACGGCGAACCCAGGCTTTGGCCGCGACCATAATGAGAACGATGCCAAGTTGGGTCACGGAAGCAGACCAGTGCATTCCGCGCAATCCAACAAACTGTATGACGAATCCACATATTGTGACCAGAGTACAAAAAATAGTTTCGAATTCCAAAGAAGTGATATTGAGACCAAGTCGGTCAAATATTGTTGGCTCAGACGTTGGTCTCTCGGACGTTGGTCTCTCGGACGTTGGTCTCTCAGACGTGATAATGGGACTTGCCCCTTTGTCGAAAAATACAGCATAGGAATCGAAAGACTGATCGTTGACTGTTTTACCCTGCTGTAACCAAACCATTGTAGCCTTCAAGCCATTACGAGGAGTATATATCTTCTCGATGGTCTTGCTTTCAACGACATGTGAACAAACCATTACACCAAGTACCAGAACAATTGTACCGATTGCAGTGCAAGGATAGGCATAGGTTGCAACCTCTTTCCCATCTTTGGGTAATCTCATTGTCGGGTAGTACGTTGCGAATCCCCAGTATGTCACAGCACCGAGCTGGAGAATGCATCCGATGGCTGCAAACAACCAAAGCTCCGATTTTCTAGAGCCCTTATGACAGTTCAGAGAAATGTTTGGCACATGCTTAGACGTATTTCGTATGACAAAAATTTCGGGAGTTGAATCTTTGAGGGGCGAGGAAGTTGCATTGGGCTCTCCGTTATCTGTAGCCCCGGTGGAACCTGATGTGGCAATGCTTCCGAGGGGAATGGGCGGATCATTCGCTGATCCTTCTTCCGCCCTGACGATATCAGGCGAAGCTTTCAAGCGGAACATGCGGTGCCAAAGGTCGGAAGAGCTTATGTGTGAAATAGTCCCCTTTAGAGAGGAGAGACTGCTCTTGACTTTTCCACTGGGGCTCGACGCTAATCAGCAGGTCAGTTTCTGTTTAGAGGAGATAACTGCACTGTGTGCGTAGATCACGGACTTGTATCTTGAAAATGTTTCTCTAACGCATAATCCCAATCCTGTACTACTACTCTAGGGGGGCTTTCAAGTTTCTTGTCCGGTTTGAGGATAATAAACTCCGTCACGGGGCTTTGGCCCATGCACCTCACAACCTGTTGCCCATTCCAGAGCTCGCAAACTTCTTGGGACGTGGACGATAGGATATCCAGTTCGGCGGCCGCGAGGTTTTCCATTGCTCTTCCAACGAGAGCCTTGAGCCAGGTTGGACCGCCAACTCGGATGGCGCTGACAATGACCGTCAGAATCCCTAGCGGGCCCATGGCTAGGATAATGTGGTCGGCCCAGCCCATAGAATGGCTCATGAACTGCATGGTAACCCGCTCGCCGAACAGGGCCAACAAGCTGCCCACAGGAACTTGGTTAGAAGATGAGCGTGACAAGGAGGCGGTGGATGGACGGTACATACGGTGCCAAATCCGAAAAGAGATTATTTGAGAAATCATCTCCTTCATCCCCCGCGGAGGCGCCTACTGAAAACCAGCAGACGAGAACGAATATCTGATACAACATAGCTGATTGTAAGGTGATTTTGGGTTAGTGGGAGTTGGTGTTTGCGTGTGGGAGTGCGAGAGGAAAAGACGCAATCATATGTACAGCGGGAGGGCTCGCTTTATTACACCGAAGTAGCATTTCTGCATGATTTGGTGGCTTATGCATGTCAGCCTGTTTCTGCCTTACTAGATAAATGAGGCCCAATCAATATGTGAGTATCACACTCAGTCACAAAGGGTGAGTGGGGAAACGAAAATGAAAGTGCAACAATGCCCGCCTATCTGCAGTAGAATAGGGCATGGTCTGTTGGTGGCGTTCGCCAATTTCAGCTCTGCAATTTCTTTGTGCCATGAATCCGACGTAGTGTGGGTGAAGGAGTTGCACTCTCAAGTCTCAACGTGGAAGTCGAAGGCTGCACATTCATCGGACTGCCCGTTTCCCGTGCTGGCGGGCTCACGTCTCACAACATGAAGTGCGACTGTGGCGTCAGTCGAACAACACTTCTCTTGAAATTATCACACTCAAACATGAGATAGCAGCCTTTCAGTACTTTGCACATGATGAAAGGTTTTCTATAGAAATTTGCAACATTACTTAGATGTAGCCATTGTACTTCGGCCATTATCCGATTCTTTGTGGCTTCTACATAATACTCGTCCACCTCATTGTCAGGACTTGTTATTATCATTCCGAAGACGAAAGCCAGTATGCAATGCAGTGGACTGTACAGAACTGCAAACATAATCACAGGTGACCGCTTGGTCATATGGCCCATACTCACTATTGCCTCGCAGGAAACACACAAGATGATCGAAAAGGCATGGTGTTGGCCCCCATCCCGATCGATAATCGACTTGATTTTCTGTGCCTGACGTTTCAAATGCAATAATGACACACTCAACTCATCGCAATCTTCGGAGGAGATTGTTTGGCCATGGTCTCTGGTCCTGTTCCGTCATCTCGACCGAGGTCGATGTTTGTGTGTCCCGATGTAGGGTTTGACCCACTAACGCTGGGAATGATGTTAAATCCTTCATTTATTTGAAGTAAACATATGAAGTAGCATTTGCTCGATAACGCCACAGATGGCATAACAGAAACTACTTATATGAGATCCAAGCAGGCATTTTGATTACAAGCATGGCATGACGTCGCGAGCAATTACTGGGCGGGTTTTGTTTAAACTCAGCAGTCGAAGCTAAGTGCCACGAAGGTGGACCTGATCGCTCGCTCTTTCTCTTTGCGACTGGGCTTCACATGAAATTGGTGCTACAGCTTATACAGCGGGTTATGCACATTGCTAGGAGATAGTGGTGCTCCGAGTTTAATTTCGTCCTCTATAATGGCACGATGCCCTTGGCTTTTGTCTGGATTCAATACCTTCATCCTAACGAACTTTGATTGTGACATTCTGTTCAAACACAATGGCCAAGCAAGTGTCGAACACAGATTATGATCTCGAAAAGCCTCTGGAGACCAAGGTTGGACTCCGCCAAGGCCTTCCTTCGTATGGCGACCCTCATTTTTCTCTATTCTTGCGCAAGGTGTTCATCAAGGCGTTGGGATATTCGGAGGACGCCCTCTCGCGCCCAATCATCGGCATCGTCAACACCTATTCGAGCTTTAACCCTTGCCACGCCAATATCCCCCCAATCATCGACGCAGTCAAGCGTGGCGTACAGGTCAATGGCGGGCTAGCCATTGATTTTCCAACCATCAGTATACATGAAGCCTTTTCTTCGCCAACGAGCATGTACCTGCGGAACTTGATGAGCATGGATACGGAGGAGATGATCAAAGCTCAGCCTTGTGATGCTGTCATCTTAATCGGAGGTGAGGCCCCTGCGGCCAGATAACAATATGTAGCTGACCCTTCTAGGGTGCGATAAAACAACTGTCGCACAGCTCATGGGTGGCATTTCCGCTAACAAGCCAATTCTCCATATCGTGACAGGCCCTATGATGCCAGGAAGCCATAAAGGAGTCCGCATAGGAGCTTGCACAGACTGCCGCAATAATTGGGCCAAGTATCGAGCTGGCACAATTGACATCGAAGATATTTCCGCCGTGAATGAAGAACTGGCACCCACTGTGAGTACAGCCCGTCGTATCTCTTCCCCTGAAAAGCAATTGAAGACAAGGAGTCCAAGTATTTCAAGGGATTGGGAATGCTGATATGGGCGTTGGTAGACTGGTACATGTGGTGTGATGGGCACTGCTAGCACAATGGCCTGTGTGCTTGTTGCGCTCGGCATGATGCCCTTTGCCGGGGCGACTGCACCAGCAGTATCATCATCTCGACTACGCATCGCAGAACAAACCGGCAAGAATGCTGTTGCTGCGTGTGAGCAGCGGGATAGGCTACGGCCCCAGAACTTGCTAACCAAAGAGTCCTTTCTCAACGCAATCACGGTTCTCCAGGCCATTGGCGGCTCAACAAATGTCGTCGTTCATCTAATGGCGATCGTGGGCCGTCATCCCAAGCTGGCTGGCACGATCACTATAGATACAATCGATGAGATTGGGCGCAGGACACCACTCCTCGTTGATCTGAAGCCAAGCGGCAATAACTACATGACTGATTTTCATAACTCAGGTATGGGGTTCCAACTTCCGACTACATTCCTATCAGCTAATAGTTTTCTAGGTGGCATGTTAGGTTTACTTCTAGAGTTAAAACACCTGCTCTACCTGGATGCAATGACAGTCACTGGGCAAACTCTCAGGCAAGAACTCGCCAATGCGACTCTTCCAATTGTCCCACGGGAGCTCAGCGTTATCCAGCCTTTTTCAGAACCCCTATGCCCGGCCTCGTCACTGGTGGTACTGCGAGGAAATTTGGCCCCTGGCGGCGCGGTGATGAAGGCGAGTGCCTCCAAGTACAAACATCTCTTGCAGCATACGGGTCGTGCTGTGGTATTTGCCAATTCCAGTGACATGGCCGAGAGGATAGATGACCCTGATCTTGAAGTCACAAAGGACAGCGTGCTGGTACTGCAGAATATCGGCCCGGTCGGAAATCCCGGCATGCCTGAAAGTGGGATGATTCCAATTCCTCGGAAGCTGGGCTCCCAAGGTGTCTTGGATATGATAAGATTATCTGATGGTCGTATGAGCGGGACTGCTGGCGGAACGATCGTCCTTCACATTTCGCCTGAAGCAGCAGACCCTTCATCGGTCCTTGGAATCGTTCAAACCGGAGACATCATCACCTGCGATGTGGAGAAGCGATTATTACAGCTCAACGTGAGTGATGAGGAAATCTCCCGGCGGCAAGAAGAGAGGGTAAAGGAGCTGCAGGGGACAGATGCCCCGTGGTTGGCTAGAGATGACATGCGCGGCTACAGGGGACTCTACATGCGAGAGGTAAAGCAAGCCCAGTTCGGCGCCGACTTCAAGTTTCTAACGGCAGAGGGGCCATCCGCGAAGTAACTTGCTAGACCAATAAGATAGATCCTAGATTGAGACACAGTAGCCTCTCTTGTGGTCCAAATTGATGCTATGCGTTTTATTTCTTGTGCTAGCTCTGATATCCATGATCTATTAGTGATATGAATCGTGTATTTAAGCGTAGCTCCGTGTAGACGCACCGATTTAAAGATACCCCTCACGAATCGAGCCAACAAGTCTCGAATAAGCTTGGAAACGATGAACTAAATTACACAGGGCATATCTTTCCGCGAAGGTTCAAGCCTCGGGACGCCATGCTTCCATTATGGAAGGGACGAAAGGGCGATCTAGGGCGGATACTACCGACCTCATGATCCAAGACCCAGACCCACGCCAATGCGATTCATGCGGGGTGGTTTGAAGCAACTCCACTCAGCGAGGAGGGAATCTCAAGCCGACAACTGCTGTGGCTCTTCTTGAACCCGGCCCACCCTTTATCGGAGATTCCCCGCCATTTATTGTTGTAACTGGTAATGGTCATCACCCGCTCACCCTTCCTTTGCTAATGGCAATAAGCCCAGGGAGGATAAAGAAAATCGGCTAAAAAGGGAATCCCGGAGCGTGCCCGTGAGATACGGACGAAGATACTCGGAACTATAGCCTGAGGCGGAGGAAAACCGGACGGATTGTTTCGAGGCACGGGATATCAACGAATGAGTCTTGAACATAAAACAGAAAATGACCTTTCGATATGTGATGCATCTTCAACTCTAGCCGTTGACCTCAAGCCTCTCCTGCCCACGGTGTGCATACATCTCCCGTGAACATTCATTAATTCCAATCATCAATTGCTCTCCCGACTGGCAAGAATGTTAACGCACGCTTCTTTTCCAGACCTTAAAGGCAAAGTTGCTCTGGTCACTGGCATTGGACAGACTGGCAGCGATGGCAATGTTTGGGGTGATGAGCCAAGGGTCTGGGGCAACGGTGCCGCCACCGCCCGTCTGCTCGCGCTGAACGGCGTCAAGGTCTTCGGGTGTGACATCAACATGCTCAGTGCCAAAAACACCCAGCAACGGATACAGGCCCTCGGGGGTGTTGTCGAGATCATCGAGGCGGACGTAACCAAGAGCGGAGAGGTGAAGAGGCTAGTGCAGGAGGCACTTACGGCTTTTGGTCGCATTGATGTTCTGGTGAACAATGTTGGTCGCTCGGAGCCTGGATGTCCTGCCACAATGGAGGAGCATATTTGGTGAGATCCCTTCATGCCCTAGCGAGTGTCGCTGTTCAGTCTAACAATAATGGATATTAGGGACGCCCAGGCTGACCTCAATGTCAAGTCGGTGTATCTTACCTGCCATGAGGTTCTTCCCCTCATGGAGGCCCAAGGTAGCGGCAGCATCATCAACATTGCCTCGATTGCCGGCCTGCGCTATATTGGCAAGCCGCAAGTCGCTTACTCAACCTTCAAGGCCGCCGTTATGCAGTTCACTAAGGCGACTGCTGTCATATATGCTCCTAGAAATGTTCGCTTGAACAGCGTGGTGCCGGGGCTCATGCACACACCTCTAGTGGGCTACCTGGCGGACAAGTATGCCGATGGTGACATCGATGGCTTCGTTAAGAAGAGGGATGATGCGGTGCCCGCGGGTAAGCAGGGAGAAAGCTTTGATATTGCAAACGCAGTGGTGTTCCTCGCATCTGAAAGTTCTAAATACATTACCGGACAGAAGCTGGTGGTAGATGGTGGCATCACATCTTCGACGAAATAAGCATAGAAACGAACTTTTTGGGCTGAAGTAAATACATGAAATTGTATCTATTTACTGGCTATTTTAAATGAATGGAATGCTTTGTTCGTATAGGAAGGTTATCTTGTGCTTCAAGACTGTCATTAGTGAGATAATGAATGCAATAAAGTCTGATGCTGTTGTCGTCTCATGGTCAGAATCCACCAAGTGCCAGTATGTTGTCAAAGTGCCCACCAAATGCCCGTCATATGAAAGCAAGAAAACTTCAATTACAGAGAGGAATTATCCTCAAAGTCTCTGATTGACGGGTGCTAATTCCATTTCCCTTGATGCCTCGAGTTTTGCTAGTAAGATATCGAAATGCGTGCTATCAACAATGCCATCACAATCACATCAACTAAGGTAGACATTGTAGATAAAATTTAGCTTTCAATCTGAGAACTGTCTTAAATAGTTGTTTTTTTTTACTTTGACTTTTACTCGCCCTTGTAAGGGTGACCAGGGCCAAACTCCGGCTTCCAAAGGCCTCTCTTCTCCTTCGTCTTGACCTGCTCAGCCTTGAGAAGACCATAAATAACCCTTAGAGTGGGCATGGGAACGCCTCGACTCTCGCCTTCACGCAGAGGCTCACCAACGATGACCTCTGCCTCGATGAAGTTGCCTTTGAGAATATCTTGCGCCATACTTGGATAGAACCACGCCTCGATCGGATCATTGAAGACGACAATGTCAGGGAGGTTCGCGTCTAGATCAACACCGCAAGCCTTGGCGGCGGCAATGATCTCTCTCATGATCGGCTTGAGCAGGTCATCCACAACATGCTGTGTGGCTCGCATACGGGTGGCATCCATACGCAGCACTGTGGCAACGGAGTTGAAGCTAGCGTTGTAGACGAGCTTCCGCCACCGAGTCTTGAGAACATCAGGCTCATAGAGGGTGGTGAGCTTGCCGTTGGGGTTGTAGATATCAATGTACCGGCGAGCTGCGGCTTCAGCCACAGCAGCTGATACATCAGGGTTGTGGAAGGGTCCGATCTTTTGCTCATCTGTGTCATCATGGATGATGAAACCCTTCTCTTTCTCAGTGGCGCCGATGGTAGACACACTACTGATAATGGGGTTGTTGGGAAAGCGCGCCACGACGGGCTTCTCGATGTTCAGGCCATTCTGCGAGAGGACAATGGCTGTCTTCCCAGGCGTAACGGCGGGCGCAATCAAGTCGGATACAGTAGGTGGGACATCAGCCACGTTCTTTGTGGTGACCAAGATGAAGTCGTAAGGCTCGACTCCCTCCCTGGCAACATCAGGCACAGTCCTTCGGACTATGAAATGGTTAGTATCGGTCCTGGAGGCGCCGACCTAGTCAACGTCCACTCACTTTCAGTGGGCCTGTAGCCCTTAATATCATGGCCGTGCTCGATAGAGTCGATTGTGATGCCCTTCTCTTTGACGACATTGTAGTTTGACCTCATTACTGCCGTAACGGTCGCCTTGCCGCCGATCTCAAGGGCATATGCCGCGAGTGTGCCGACACCACCGGTGCCGACGATGAGAACACGAGCTTTGTCCATATTTTTGCTCAGATTGAAATATGCTTGTTGGATCTATACTTTGGGATGCAGATTATGTTCACAGGAGTATTATTATGTGATGCATAGGGATCGTTTACATATCCTCCTATAGTCACGCTCGCTCATACACGTATATATAGCTCACTGGCATGTAGATGATTGCATCCAAATTCGACAGGAGCCACAGTACAGCAAGATAAGGAGATCGGAGTATCGTCGCTCGCCGTGTCTTGCGATAGAATTATTCTTGTGTCCAGAAAGGGCTGTCAATCGAGGTGGATCGTGGAGCACTGCCTTAAAGGGACGATGCGTCACATTCGGATCCACCTGCCATCAATTACTTGAGATTCTCGTCTACATGCGTGTATGGGGCAATAATATAGCGCCTCTCCCCGAGTGGAGGAGGCCGTGCTGTGCAGGAATGAGCGAGCGGCGCTAGATGCGGAGCAGCTCCAGCGATGAGCCCCTTTCCCCTCATCACCATGAGATCTGGGATCATCATGTCAAGATAGGCTAAGGAACTTCTTTTGTCGGACCGTTTGGCCCCCTACTCGCGCGCTGAAGTATCCCACAGAAGAAGAATAGGTTGGGGCCCTCTTACAACTTAAAGTCTGTGGGATGTGATGGGTGAGGTGGATTTTCCTACATACGCAAGAGGACCACGATAGTATTAAATCCCAGCGCTTGATTTGATCCCCGGGTTACCAAGAAAATATCTTGTGTATACATGGTTTCGCGGTGTCATGAAATGGAGGCTGATATATAGATGGCAATGAGAGCGACGTTTCATATCATCCAAATACGTGCACAGTTTCAAAGCTTGCACGCACAATATTCTCTCCTTGATTTTTCCATCTACTTCACTACGTGTTTAGATGTGAGCCCGGTGCGTCACATTGATGTTTCCCGTGACAACAGTCTTGCTTTGCAAATAATCTGCGATGCCGTACTTGCTACCCTCGCGTCCAAGCCCGGACTGCTTCACGCCCCCAAAACTATTATCGATGTCAGTCAGCGCACTTGTCTCTTATGAAAGACCAGATGGGGGGTCTTACGGTGCGGCGGCGTCGGACATGACGCCTGTGTTGATGGCAACCATCCCGAAGTGCAGCAGTTCCGTGACACGATGGGCTCTGGTGATATCTTGGGTGTAGACGTAGGATGCTAATCCGACATCGCAGGCGTTTGCAGCATTAACAGCCTCATCTTCAGCCGAAAATCTTAGGATAGGCGCGATGGGACCAAAAATCTCCTCTTGGAAGAGGCGCATGTCGCTGGAGACATCGGTCAATACTGTCGGCTGGTAGAAAGCAGGGCCTGCAAGATGCGGTTAGTTGAATTATGTACTCTTACAACATGGACAGTGAAGCGAGACCAACCAATATCTTGTCTCCTTCTCCCGCCAACAGCGATTTTGGCACCCTTTTGAACGGCATCGTCCACGAGCTCTGCGACTTTGCTAGCAGCGGCCTCGTGGATCAGCGGGCCATGAGTCGTGTCCGTGTCGGCACCATTTCCAACCTTGAATGCCCGAACAATCTCGACAAGTCTCCTGATGAACTCATCATAGACTTCATCTTGGACAAAAATACGGTTGGCGCATACGCATGTCTGGCCCGTACCCTTGAACTTGCTGGCGACGACACCCTTGACAGCAAGGTCGAGATCAGCATCGTTGAATACTATGACGGGAGCATTGCCGCCCAACTCCAGACTGAGCTTCTTAATGGTGTCACTAGACTGCTTCATCAATAGACGACCGACGCGGGTCGACCCAGTGAAAGAGATCTTGCGGACGATTGGGGAGGCGCACAAGACCTGGCCAATCTCTGGGGTGTTCTCTAGTGCACAAACAATATTTACAACACCCTTAGGAACGCCAGCTTTCTCGCCTAGTAGAGCAAGTGCGTTCGCCGTGAATGGAGTCTCGCCGGCTGTTTTGATGACTACGGAGCAGCCAGCAGCCAGGGCTGGGCCGAGTTTGCGCGTGATCATGCCAGCGGGAAAGTTCCATCTAGTGAAAGGATCAGACCGTGAGAAAACACACATTTGGAATAAGAAACAGGACATATGCACATACGGGACAATGAGACCAGCAACACCGACGGGTTCTTTGAGGACTGACACACGGAAGCTTGTTGAGCTATGGGGAGCCACATCACCGTGGATGTGAGCTGCCTCTTCCGAGAACCACTCGAGGAAGCTGGCAGCGAATTGGACTTCGCCATTGGCATCAAAGGAGGCCTTGCCATTCTCCCAGCCGATGAGAGTGGCGAGATCTTGTGCATTCTCCAAAATCAAGTCATTCCATCGGCGAAGGATGCGCGCCCGCTCCCGGCCACTGCGGCTGCGCCAAGCTGGGAAGGCGGCAGCGGCAGCATCAATAGCCTTTTGGGCATCTTGAGAATTGGATTCCGGGCATGTTCCGATCAGCTTTCCTGTTGCAGGATCTTGAAGCGTACATAGGATTAGCCATCTCTCCAGATAATGCAATCCCGTTTGACGTACCGTGGACCTCAAACCTCTTGCCAGAAGCAGACTCGACCCATTCGGCATTGATATAGTTCTTGCCGATGAGCAGAGAGGGATTCTTGAGACGTCGTTCTTGAAGCATTGTATGGATTTTGCAGCGGGGATGTAGCAAAGGGTGGGAAATTAACACGTTGATTTGGTTCGACGGCAATGGATATCAATTTCAATGCAAGGGTAGTAATACATAAATATTGTAAGATCTCGGATTAAAACGCCTGTTTCGGGGAGTACTCAACACTAAGCAATGCACCCCCGTTAGAAACCATCATGGGCAAACATGACACAATCGTGCCTAATAGACACTATAAGCTGCTCTGGTAACCTAATTCTCCTTGCAGTCTCACGCAAACGTCAAACCCCGCTTGTCTCTAGGTAGTTGACCCCCGGGCCGGAAACATCAAGCAACATATCCCTGCCACCTGGATCACCAGTAAGAGTGGAACTGAGTCACTCCAGCCGAGTCACCGCAGCCGAGTCAAAGAAGCCGAGTCAAGTAGATGATATTATCTGCTTTCCAGTGGGAAGAGGTATGAGAGACCGACATAGCAACATAAGATCTACGTATCTCCGTTCAACTCCCCCACACTCACCCCGCCTGACTAGGGTTGATGCTGATTCACACAACTGAAAGATCCTTATCTCCATTCTCCACCAAGACATTGCCCCTAACCTAATAAATCTCGCTCGGTCCTGCTCTGGTACGTAAATCCAACATGCCAAAAGCGGGGGCTGTACCTTCACCTCCGAGTACCACGAGATCCGGGGCCGGGTATCAACTGTGGCATCCCTTCGTTGATTCTGCGACAGTGCTTGGTAGTGTGTATAGCTTTATTAAGTTGATAACGCTGATGAGCGCCGGTAGGTCGTATAAATTCATAGGTACTAGACACCAGATCAAGGCCAAGTAGGTGGTTGTTTCCTCTGAACAAAAAAGGCATCGACAAGTAAAAGTTCAAGGAGCGAGTGAGCTCCCTCAGTTACCTTCATCACTCACGATGGCACCCCGTGTCGAGATCCTCGACCTGTCCAACACTTCTCACATCTATCACTCTCCAGCTACCATCACCGCCTCCAACAGCAAGTTAGTTCATGTATCTGGTCAAGTAGGAGCTACCAAGTCCGGTCACATCCCTGCCGACTATGAGTCTCAGATTCATCTGGCGCTCCTCAACCTGCGCCGCATTATCACCGCAACCGGTGCCACCGTCAAGGACCTGGCGAAGATCACCGTCTACATCGTCGACTACAGCCCTGACCGCAGAAAGCACACTCGGCCCATCCAACGATTCCTGCGTGGCCACAGGCCGGCAATGACGCTTGCGCCTGTCGCCCAACTCGCAAACCCAGCCTGGCTCTTCGAGATCGACGCCGTCTTTGCTGTTCCTTCCCCTACCGATTCCATCCCACGCCTGCTGCCTGGCCCTCCACCAACAAAATCTGTTGATGTAGTCATCGTCGGCGCAGGTCTAGCTGGCCTCTCTGCGGCCCAGGATCTCCACCGAGAAGGATTATCATACGTTATCCTCGAGGCTCGTAATCGCGTTGGAGGCAAGACATACACTCATCCTCTTCCCACCGGACGAGGAAATGTTGAGCTCGGAGCTGGCTGGATCAATGATACCAACCAGTCCCGTATGAACGAGCTTGCCCGTCGATTTGGCCTGGAGCTGATCGAGCAGAACACTAATGGCAACGTCGCATTGCAGGATGTTGACGGCACCGTCTCGCCCTTCCCGTACGGAGAGCTCCCTAACGTAAGTTTATCCCATTTGAAACCGTTCTTGCCTGTCCTAGCGACCGTTTGCTTGTAGAGATGCAGCACTAACATTAATTCTTCCACAGTTCGACCGAGCCTCCCAGCAGGATGTAGCCCGTATTCGGGATAAGGCCGAGGCCGATTGCCAGCTTTTAGATGTCTTCAAGCCCCAGGATACGGCACTTGATGCTATGACATTCGAGGCCTACCTGCGCTCCAACAATGCATCAGAAAAAGCCCTCTGGACTGCCACCGTTTGGACTCGCGCCATGCTGGGCGTCGACCCGCGCGATGTTTCCGCCCTCTTCTTCCTCAACTACTGCAAGTCCGGCGGCGGTCTCTTGCAGATGCGTTCCGACCGCAAGCACGGCGGCCAATACCTTCGCATCCGCCAAGGCACCCAGAGCTTCTCAGAGAATCTAGCCAAGGGTCTCGAGCCCGGCTCCGTTCATCTGAACTCTCCTGTAAAGCAAGTTACCCAAGATGGCCCTCATTCTGTTAGCGTCACAGCTGCCGACGGTGCTGTCTACCGTGGTCGCAAGGTCATCACCACAGTGCCAAGTCCTGTGCTGAAAACAATTGATTTCCAGCCCGCTCTTCACCCGGTGAAACTTGCCTGGTCCGAGTCGGCCAACTACGGCTATTACACAAAGGCCATGATGGTCTTCAAGACCCCCTTCTGGATTGAAAAGGGCTGGTGTGGTCTGGCGCA